GTCAGTAGCAGCAGTTTGTCCATATTCCTGCTCCGAGCTGAGCCAGAAATTAAACAAGCACCAGTTCATCTCAAAAGAGCCTTATACAGACACACACACACACACACACACTCACACACACACACACACACACACACACCCACACCCACTCATGTGTCATCACCACCCCCTTTTATTTAAATTTATTATTATTATTTTTTTACTAAAATAATACAAAAAAGGGAGACAGGTATATTTACAAAAATCCATGGCTGGTACAGTACATAATTTTTAAGACACACTAAATGCTACAATCTTTCAGGTCCTGAGATTATTACAAATATCAACTCAAAGCTTGTGTTCAGGTCCAGTTTTTAAAGGAGGAAAAAAAAAATCCCAAAATATTAAGTCACACACTTATTTGAAATACAGCATTATCCCTTCAAGTTAGCAAAAAATGTGCCTCCCTACCAGCAGGTGCAACACAGAAAGTTGTGCCCTTCACCTAGAGGACCGTCTGTCTACTCCTTGGGCTCTTGTGACTGCTTCTAAAATATGGTGGCATCTGTTAAGKGTGAAGGTGGCTAAAGAAGAGGGACTGTTTAATTGGAGGGAAGCCCCTCTGTAGAGTGGATATTTAAAGTTCTGTTTTTCCTTCTGCTACAAACAAGTTTTTCCCTTATCAAAATTCATAAGGTAAGGATTGGAAATATGTGCTTGCTCAGACTAAAAATCAGACTCATGATTTCGAATCAATAGCAAATAACAAATAGGCCTGCAGTTCCATAATAATTTTTACAACCTCAAATAAATCTTCTTGTTCATAATTAAAGAGAGAAAACACTCATTACTTAGTTACCTTAGTAGACTTTAATACATTATTTGGGGCATAAAAATTTTAAACCAGCCAGAGATTTATTTTCTTCTTCTTTAAAGTTTGACAGTGCTTAGCAAGAGACATGGGCGAGCCTCAGATTTACAGACTTTCTTCAAAGAACAATTTTCTATTTCTGATACTTCAAAATTTTTCAATGGCAGTTGACAAATGAACAGTTCAAAGCTTGGATCTCTTCTCTGGAGGCTAGCCATGGATCAGAGGCAATCATTTGTAGGGTAAGACCAACCTGCACTGGTAGAAGGCCCCCTGATTATCTGAAGGTGTCAGAAGGTATTATGTAATTCATTATGTAGGCATAGCCAAGATAAAACAAAAACGAAACAAAACAAACAAAAACCCAACCAAAGTTGGCCAAACTTTCCAACTAATTATATAAAACAGTAATATCTTTGTCAACTGACAATAACTCTTTTCCTTTTAATGCTACTAGGCAAAATTGAGGAAATCCTTGGTAATTTTGCAGGTAAGGGAAAGAAAACCCAATTTTTCAGACAGAGGGCACACTACTCCTAAAAACAGCAGAGATCAGCAAAAAAAAGGAGGAAAGTTTATAACTGCAAGCACAGGAAACACAGGATAGCTAAGGTCCGATGATTTAAGGGCAGGTTGTCAGACAGAAAAACATGTCAACCAACCAGTCTTGGTTGCTGCTAACTGCTAAATGTGCTCTGTAATTAGAAGTAGTTTCAAGTCACTGTGAGTAATAATCAACTGTATTTCAATCAGGCTTCTACTAGTGCTCTATTATAAAATATCTAAAAGCCAGATTTAAGATAGAATTCTATTACTAATAGCAAATGGGAGCAAATACTGTATACAAAGTTTTCTGAGGAACATAAAATTGGTACTAAGGATTCAATAAAGCCTATTTGACTCAGATTTTGCAAAGTAGATTTGTGCTAAGGGAAGTATGAAGACCGTCAGAGAAACAAGAGCCCCTGAAAAAGGTCTGCAATAACTGTGAAAACTATTAGGAGGAAGCCATAAAATATGCTATTACCACATTATATAGTAACATTTGTGTGTGTGTGTGTGTGTGTGTGTGTGTGTGTGTGTGTGTGGTGCCGGGGATCCAACTCAGTCTTGCGCATGCTAAGCATGCACTATACCACTGAGTTATAACTCCAGCCTATGCAATCTATTTTTTTCAATCCAAAGGAGAAAAAAAATTCCAGTCATCAAGTCCTGGACGCAAAGATCTTTAATTATATGACAGAGATTTCAAACAGCGTTCCTGACCTGTCTGGATAACAGTTTGAAAAAGTGTCCACAGTTTAAGTACTACCTGACTATAAAATGGAAATTTGGAGAAAAGACTAAGAAGTAGAAATACTACAGTATGAAGAAATAAACAAAATGCACAAATAGCTAGTTTCAAGCAAATGGTACTTAGGGAGTATATGAGGGAAATGCTACTCCTAAGGCAGTCTCTGCCTGCATCCTCTGCTGGGATGTCAATAGTTTCTCAAATTGTAGGCTTTAGAGCTCAGTGGGGTCATTGGAAACAGCACCACAGAGAGTGAGAAGAGGATGTGAAGACAGTTTGACCTTTCCTCTCCAGACTCTAAAACAATTTTGTCACTTTTTTGGGGGTAGAGATACTGGTTGATGACATGGTTAACTTAAGAGCTCACAGCAAAGGAAAGAAGAACAAAGACTAAGGAAATGAAGAAAGAATAATTCAACATTACTATTCAAAGCTATTTTTAATTCGAGTCTGACCACCTGTTCAGCTCTATAAACCTGAACACTGTGTCACAGAATCTAAAACTCCAGAATGGAACACTGGGACGATTTCATCCTAACAAACCAGACATTCCACAACACTAACTACAGTTCCACACTAGTGAAAGGGTCTGCAGTTAGCGTTTGAATTTTAAGTTCACATTTTAGGATAAACACATAAACTATGTCTATTTTATACTTCTGTTAGTTTTCCCTGGAGGAATAAACACACATTCAACAAAACCCTTTTGTCTTAGTTCTTTGGGTAGAAGTCTTAACATTTGTTATCTGAAGAATGGAAAAATAGGGAAATGTGTTAAATAAAAAGTAGGGTTATCTGCATAGTTGACATTTAGAAGCTACTAACTAAGGCCTTATCTGGAAAAAGCAACAAAAAATCAAAAAGGTGATTTAAAACCAGACCAAACCAAACCATATCAATAGAGATTAACTGGGTCTTAGCCAATTCTGGAATTCACCAGATGCTTCGTCTGCTTGGGCCTGGTGCTTTCTCCTAACTCACTTGAGCTGGAACTGTTCCTCAAACCCCTGCATTCTCTTTCCTGACCCTGAATATATGCTACACTTTAAACTCACACACACATCCTAACATTTAGCCCTAACTAAAATTGCAGCATCCATTTTTTCCCTGTTGTTTTAAGTGACAAAAGGAAAATTCTATGTATTACTAGTACATAGGGATGGAAAGTGGGATGAATTGATCTTCATTTCCTACCGGGAGCTGGTGAAACCATATTTCCTTCTCTCCTGACCATCCCCACCCCTGGCCCAGCTGTGAAACGAATCCTGCCTTCCCTGTCCCATTTTCCTACAACCTGAGCAGCTGATAGCTCCAACTCTTGTGTAGGCTGGAGAAGCCTGAAACACAAAGGTAGAACTGGCTAAAAGCGTATGCAGCTGGCTATGTGTAGTGCTTGCTCCTTCAGTGCAGAGCTGGATAAATCTACAGTTACAGGAATTGCATGCGGTGTCTGATTTACAAGCATAAGGAGGCTCCCCTTCACTCTTAGAAAGTTAAAACTTGGTTATCCATCACCAAACAAGTAATATAAGAAAATTAGATTGAGAAGATGAAAAAGTGAGGCAGATAAAACTTTCAGAATAATTTATCAATTCCAATAATCAATCATCCAAACAACTTTAGCTCCACAAAGACCTTTGCAAAAATCATATAAGCAGTAACCCCATAAAAAGCTAAAAACAAAACACCCCTTATATTTAAGAAACTTAATGTCATCCCCCAGCTTTGTTAATCTGAAACTAACCATTTTTTTTCTATATACTATGTTTGAATAACAAATACATATCTAAATTAGAGTTTCAGTGATATTTTTTAAAACTTAAAAATTGTGGGGTACTCTTTATATCCATACAAGGAAATCATTTTTTAGCCTCTGCAGGATGTAATAGTATTTTTAATTATATAGGACATTTTAGAAAAACTCAAAATATTTTTGAAATAGTAAAGTCTCTGATATCCCTGGGAGGTAGGTGAATATTTATACCCAATTGTCTCATGGGTAATCTGAGGCACAAAGGTTAGTTAAATGATGTCCCCGTAGACCCAGTAATTTAGAAATTAACACTCACTACTGAACTCTGGCTGCCTGACAAAGTTTTGCTACTAGGAGTCTCTGCTTTCTCCTTTTAGCCACCAGTCTCTTTTCCTCAAATAAAAGTTAACTTAAAAGGGGGCACTTATTAGATATACTGTATTGTTTTTGAGGATTGGTTCAATTTAGTCTCCCTTAACATGTCACATTATATATATTTTTCACAAGAAACAGACAAATCTTAAGATACTGAAAATTATAGTATTTTGCTCAAGGGAGAAATCTAAACAACCCGAAAATCAGAGCCAAATGTAGTTATCTGACTAAAAAAATAAAGGCTGAAGAGCTCTCAAGAATGCTATAGATATGAGTGTTGTCCTCAGTATCTGAAGTCTTTCTACTTCTATGTTTATTAATGTTATAATAAATATGTAGCTATGATTTCTTAAAAAATCATTTCTCCAGAAGAAAATATGATACATTTTTAATATTGACACAGTTGCAAACTTCCTTCAAAATGTATTCAGATAGCATCACACAGTTCCAACTCTAGCCCTACAAGTTTTGAGTCTTGCCTGCCACAGTGCACTTAATCAATTCAATCCACAAGAGACTCTTGTTAGTCCAATGCTTTCTCCTATATTACATATGCCAAGTTTGAACGCATGGAGCAGTAGGTTATATCCAGGAATAGTCAACGAATCTGCTAAATTTATTTTACTCGTAAAACTATATATTCATATATATATGTGTATATATATATATATATATATATATATATATATATATCTGTTACATCTACAAACAGATATTTAAAGGGGGAAGATAGCATCTTGTGAAAAGACAATTTCCCAATCCACCTATTTAATCAACTCGACTAAAAGCAACAGAATAAACAGAAGTTTTGCAAATGTTGAAAGGGGAGTGTTCAGAGAGGATGCAATGATACAGCAGCCACTAGTTTTATCTGTAAGCCTATACGTATCTTTCAATATAGCCATATACACATAAAGAAAAGGAAGAACATTACAGCATGACGTGACATTGGCAAGTTTGACATTCTTCCTCCTGAATCCCCTGACTTATCAGTCTGCACTTTAGGAGATCTGAGAACACTTTCGAAAGAGGGGAAAAAATAAAGGAAAAAAACAAAAAGGCACTTAACAAAGACAAAGGCCTGAATTGAGCATGTTTTAGAGGAGTAATATAAGCATTTATCAGAGCTAAGAAATTATTTACAAAGAGTTAAACTTTTCCCTTAAAATTTTATAAAATAAAATTGCATAACATGTTTGTGATCAGTCATTTATCTACTACTGCACTTTTCTTCTGCTTCATTTTTACAAAACTGAAAGCACCCCCCACAAAGCAAAAACAACAACAAMAAAAAAATCATACATGCAAAATAGAAAGTAAAAGTGCCCCTTCTGAGAACATTAGGTCAGCAGAAATCATAGTGCTGAAGCACAGGGAAAGTTCTCAAGTTTGGCCWGATTATAAGATTTTTCTCTTTCTTCTTTTTTCAACTTGAAAAACAAAACAAAAGCCAACAAATGAAGCAAGCAAATTCAAAACAAAAATGATAAAAACAATATAGGGACCAGTGTGCTTTTTTATGGTACACTCCTAAAATAAAGTATCCTAATTCTACACATGGGTCAAATTATATGACAAAACTCCTAGAAATAAAGAAGTGTAAATTAAAGTCATCCAAATACAAGTTCATTTTACAAAGGTAGCAGCAAATATGATAGATAACTGGAGTTTGAGAGGTGATCCCAAAGGACACAGAGTTCTCAATATCAATGGCAGTTTGAATAACAGTAGAATTTTCATTTCAGAAAATGTCTTAAACCAAGTAGAGGTGGAAAGGAGTATGGGAGAGGGCAACCAGAGGAGAGAGACTAGAGGTGCCTGCCCTTTCCATCCCTGGGTAGTAAACAATTTAGATCTGCTTTGGGAAACAAATATCCTGGGTTAAAAATCAGTTCCAATAAGTTGTTTTCAAACAGGTGTCAAACCCACAGTATTAAAAAACTTTTCTGTGCCCGGTTCTTCCCCTTATGTCGGAAATCCAATAAACCCGATTCAGTGTCTATGATACAAAATAATGTAATTTGGGCTAACAACATCCATCAAAGGGGTGGTGGGCATACAAGAATTTACTAGCGCAATCCTCTTGATTTCTTTAAGATATCAGGATTTTGTGGCTACAGTTCAACCTCACTTCTTTTCCCAAAACCTTTTCTTCAGGATATTTTGAAATCATGATTTCTAAACCTCTGATATCAGAAGCATATGAGAAAAATTATAATTAACTTATAATGGAAATTATTGCTTGCATTTACTTTGGAGGCTCTGAATGAGCTTGACACTTTGCTCCCAAACAGTCTCCAACTGAGGCCCAGCATTGCTATCTCTAAGGACAGCTCTGCTGACCGTTATTGCTTGTGAATACTGAGGATTACCTAGTATGTACAGTAACAGCTTATATATCAGTGAAGGCAATTTCAAACATAAGACAGTTGGAAACAAACAGCTTAATCTTCCTGAATCAAGAATCCCGCTGAGTGGGATATAATTAAGTGTGCTGATTACTTTTGCATGTGGATGTTGCTAATGCTCTTTAGAAATACACATTGTTCTATAGATAACCTTTCCAATCATTCACCATTTTAAAAAATAACATAATTTGATTTTAAGTGCAAAAATACAGTATGAGTCACAAGTCTCTGTTAAAAAATAACCAATTTATATGTTTGTTTTTTAGTAATAAAAACTGTAAAGACAGGTGACCATGAAGCTTGGACACCATTTTCAATGTTAGGATCTAGAAAAGAAATGTTTGTATTTACATGCAGAAATCTCTGATCTTACTTTATGGAGAAAGACAAGGATTTTGACCCATTTGTACAACATAAAAGAGGGGTCTTGATTGAAACRAATAAAAATTGATCAGTAAAACGGGGAAGGGTGTTGCTGAGGTGGAGATCTGACATAGTTGTCAAGGATTTAAGACTGAAGAGAATAGAACATAATCTCTATATCATATTCTCAGAGCCAAGGGCCTTCAGGTATTTGACTGGTTAGCATAAAATGACACAGGAGAGAATTAATCCTGATGTTTTCTAATGAAGGCAGAGTCCTCAAGGATCTTCATATAGCATGATTCAGAATTGGTGGATTTAAGAAATTACAATTATTATTCTTTGACTTATACCAGCAATTCATAAGAAGATACATGTGTATATGTGCACACACATACACATGTGAACGCCATATACAGCTATTGGCAGGAAGGCAAGGTTAATATACTCTCTAACTTCTTTCCTGGCAGACAAAGTAAAGTAAAGCTCCCTTCTGGAAGGAAAACTCATCACGGTACCCAGGAATATGAGCAAAGGCAAAAGCAAGAGGTCTGTTACAATGGAATAATCATGAGTCTAGTAAGCTTCCCTAATTAAAAAACCAAATAAATCTTAATCAAACTTACTGAATTCAAATCAAACCTCTTTACAACATCCCAGTATCCCTCCAAAATATCTATCAGGATTCATCCACATTTGTTTTATTGGTAAACTAAATTCTGAAGAGGTGAAATATTATATCAATGATTCCTTTGAAATAATCATTTCTCCTTATTGTAACAAGTTCTCAGAACTGAAGTTTTCAGTTATTTATTAACCCCTTTGCTATAAAACAAGCCAATGTGACTTTGAAGTCAAAATATAGGCATGTAGATCAGAACAGATCTGTGATTATTTATAGTCCTGTAGGCTATTTGGGACTTCTGTTTACTTAAGGAAAAAAAGGGCCTCATTAATACTCTTATTTGAATAAACTTAGTGGTACAGGGTAATGGAAACATGGAAAAAAGCTTGCTATCACCAATCTAGTGCTGATTTTTTGGTTAGTCTGCCATAAACTGACCAAGGTTACACCATGCAGAGCTTAACCATTCTTGGGTATAGTTTGAAAATACTCATAAGTTTAAAACTCAAGAGATAACAGAATGATGAGGAGGCAAAATAAAATGTATGCAAAGAGAACTATAAATTTTTCCCTTCACATCCTTTGTTAGCTATGCTATTTGCTTAGTTAAAGAAGCTATAATAACTAAGAAGTCTTCTTTGTAGGCTTACTTGCTATCAACACTGAGAAATATCAGTAAAGCTTTTAAAACTCCAAATGCTTGAAACAATTTCACAACATTGGATAAATCGAGTTAAACCACATTGTGATTGTTATAAAAAAGATACTCCCTTGTACATAATGAGCCTAATGCAATTCCTCTCCCTAAAAATTAAAAAACCAAACAACTATTTATGTGCTATTTGGATGACCAGTGAGGAAACACAGGTAGTACTCACTGCCACCTGTTTGTATCAACAGCCAACAATCACCTGAAGAACCCCTAGCTGAAGGAAGAGAGAGGGAAGTTGTGAGGTGAACTTGGGGGAATTTACAGTTCTTGTTGGTAGGGCCTGCAAGGGTGAATGAAGATGAGGAAAGCAGCAGCCCTATAATAAAGATTTCCATTACTCAAGTGAAACTGAGTCACATTTTAACATCAAGACTAGAAATAAAAATGAACCAGTCAAAACTAGATACATAAATCACCTGAAGAAAAGAGTTAAGTACCTACTTCTGAGTGGAAGATGAAATTGACCCTTTCACAAAAAGGGGACATGTAGGTTTTTGTCTGTTAAGAGCAACAGGCTCAATTTCTTGACTTTTAAAAATCTAAATGATTTAGTAATATACATAACTGTGCTAAAATAATTTTCCTGAAGCATCTTCAGTCCACTGATTTACATGGGGAGTTGCTACATACTGGAGAAGATTCAAGTTTGCTCAGGATGTTTGAGGGTACAGTATTTCTTCAGCTAGGGTTTATATCAGACATAGGGTCACCCAATTATTTTGTTGCAAATTTGCTAAATGTCCACTTAAACAGGCATGATTATTACTCCTGACAAACTAGCCTAATTCCAGATCTATTGCTTTTATTATTCAATTATGTCTACAAGTGTTCAGAGCCAACCCCCAGGATGGATGGTGTTTACCCAAATCCTCTCAACTTCCTCCTTCCTCCCCCAGGGAAAAAATAATTTGTACTTCTGTGGGTTTGACAGCTGAGTCTCTTTCAAGTCAGGTAACATGGTAACTTTGTCTTTCTTTAGCAGAGACCAAAGGTCACTAACTTTGCACAAAAGCATTTCTTCCTCCTGCACCTGGCTTTGCTCAAGTAATGTTTTCTTTCCTTTTCCTCCTCACCACAGTGCTTGGGACGAGAATGTAAACATCGACAGAAACAGCAGCCCTGTGACCACATAAGGACTTTCCCATCAGGTAGATCCCGTCAGCCAGCTACACGTCTCATCTCTCTGCTTGCTGAGAAGTCACTGAGATTTCCGTGGTAACTTAGTGTCCCCTTTACTTTGGCCTCCATCTGAGAAAAAGAGATGTTAAACTGGTATAGTTTGGCATGTTGTAAAAAGCAAATAAGAGAAACAGAACAAAAAAGACTTTAAAATTTTTATGTGGATGATCTCTCTCAAAAGATAACCTTTAATATTTCACATGGTGTAAAGCACTATAGTGGCTGATTATGTCCGATGCTGGGAGGAGTATAAAGGAATGAAAATATTTCCACCTTCTACCACATCTTTTGATCCCTTTGAGAAAATTTTTAGTTGGAGACAGACACAATATCTTTGTTTATTTATTTATTTTTATGTGGTGCTGAGGMTCAAACCCAGTGCTTCACATGTGCTAGGTAAGTGCTCTACCACTGAGCCACAACCCCAACCCCAATGACACAGTATTTGATAATTAATTCCCACTACGTAAACGAATGCAGCACATTGGTAGTGAAAAATTCAGCTGTATTTCTGTTTTGGTCCTAACCTAGCAAAAGTCTAGGTTACTGGAAACCTAGTCTGCTACTGGGAACAACGGTTTCTATTTCTACATTCTATTGTTTTACTGTTTATGGGGAAAATGYTGATTATTTAAATCTTAGCTAAATTACCTACAAATGCTGGGAGAGGATAGAAAAAGGGGATACCTGGGCAAGAGTAGGACCCAATGACCCGGAGAGCCAACGGAATATAGAGAAAGTCTCTAACAGGTTAAAGCCTTAGGCAAGGAAAACGAAGGCCCCAAGACAACCCAGGCCTGAGAGAAAAAGACAGGGGAAGGAAAGCTTTACTTCAGGGAAGAGGCATGAATGTTAGAAACACACAGGTGAAAAGGAACAAATTATTACAGCACAATAACAGAATCTTAAGGCTGGAAGAGGCCATCAATGTTACATGGCCAGGCCCACTCATGTGATATCTACATTACTTTGGAAAAACATAAAACCAAAAAAATTGCCTCTCTTGAAGAAAAGCTGTATCAATAAAATACATATCTATTTCAAAAGCTGTATTAATAGAATACTATTAAAATGACTTTGGTGATAACAMCTAAGTTTTTCTCATTTATAATAGGATATATTTACATTTGTAGAGAGAAATGGTTTGATCTGTGGTATAATTAAATTCATAAAATGGTACAGCAGTTTAATAAATGACATTTTGCCCAAAGAAATTTTAAACTGAGCAAATTAAAATACTCAAGATTTAACTGGACTGAATTTTTTGGTTTTCCTCCTGTAATGAGGATTGAACCCAAGACCTCACTCCACATGCTAGGAAAGCACTCTACCACTGAGCTATATCCCCAGCCCTTTTTGTTTCATTTTGAGATAGGGTCTTGCTAAGTTGCACTGACAGGCCTTAAACTTGCAATCCACCTGCCTCAGCGTCCTAGTAGCTAGAATCATAGGAGTATGTCACTGAACCAGGCTTAGGCTGTGAAATTCTTTACCTGGCCTATCTCCTGTTTTTGTAAATAAAGTTTTGTTGGAACCCTGTCAAACTTTGTTTACATATTGACTATGGTTGTTTTTGTCCTGTAATGGTAAGGTTGAGTAGTGGCAACAAACAACATATGCCTACAAAGTCCTTTACAGAAAAAACTTACTGATCTATTGTTTCAAACAAGAGAATTAACATTAATTGGGTTCTTACTATGTACCAAGTATCATGCTAGAAGCTTTAATCAGTTATTTTTATTAGAGTCCTAAAAGAAGTCTATTTAAAACATCTTTTTGTCCTCAATTTATAAGCAAGAGAAATGATGGGCAAACAAGAATCCTGCTACAATTGGTGGTTCTGGAATTAAAAACCCAAGGCTGATCCTTTTTTTTTTTTTTTTTTTTTTTTGATGGTGCTGGGGATTGAACCAAAGGTCTTGTGCATGCTAGGCAAACACTATACCAACTGAGCTATATTCCCAGCCCGCTCAAGTCCGATTCCCAAGTTCAATTTTTTATGGTAAAAAGTGTTTTTAAATGAAAAATTTTAAACTTTTTAACTTCAATTATTTGGAAGATATGGATAGTCATATCTCCTTCTGGTTCTGSAATGGTGGTATTGAGCAGACAATAAGATGACTCACAAAGAGCTGAACAGTGAGGTCTTCTTGAGTCACAAAAATCCAGTTTGTATAATTCCTCACAGATGGTCACACTCATGCCAATCTGCCCCAGGAGCAGGCAGATGGTCCCCATCTGAATCATGACACTAAGCAGATGTCCACAGTCCGGGAGGATCCAGTTCAGTCACAGAGCAATCATCCTTATGAATGTAAGCCTAATCAAGTTCGGCAAGATCAGGAGTGCTGACATTTGTTACTACTTTATATTGCCCATTTTGTACAACTGGATGAGCCTGGTCTTATTTATTTATTAATATTTATTTGGTACTGTGGCTTGAATCCAGGGGTGGTTCACCACTGAGCTAAACCCCCAGTCCTTTTTAAAAAATTTTATTTTGAGACAGGGTCTAAGTTGCCAAGGCCAATCTCAAACTTGTGATCCTCCTGCCTCAGTCTCCTATTTCGTTGGGATTATAGATGTGTGCCACTGTGATCAGTTATTTTTTATTTTTAACTGATATACAAAACCACAAAAGATGTACACATTAATGGGATAGCATGGAAGGTTTCGTACATATATTCAGTGTAATGCTCAAATCTGGTTTAACTTTTTTTAAAATAAATTTTTGATAGTGAAAACCCTCAAAATTCTTTCTTCTAGATTTTTGAAATATACAGCACCAAACTGTCAATAGTACATCAGAGCTCCTTCCATCTGTCTTTGGTCTTTTTTTTTTTTTTTTTTAAATCATATATTCTTTAGTTGTAGGTGGACACAAACCTTTAATTAGTTTTTAATGCGGTGCTGAGGATCGAACCCAATGCCTCACGTGTGCTAGGCGAGCGCTTTTCCTCTGAGCCACAACCCCAGCCCCTGCCTTTGGTCTTTTAGAGGATTAACGGCAATTTATTGCTTCAAGGTTGTTATGTAGCTCCCATTTCTGCACTGTGGTCAATGGTAAACTGGTTCAAAGATCACTTTTAACGCAGTGGTTAAAAAGAATAGCGAGGTTCTTCTCAATTTCCAAAGTTAAAGAAGGTGGATAAATAGTTATTTCTCCTTAGAAGATCCTAAAAATGGCCTCCAGAATTGTATTTTAGGTGTCCACTGAGATCACCTACTGGTATGAGCAAGAATCTGGGCCTGGTGACACATGCCTGTAATCTCAGGATTCCAAGTTCAAGGCCAGCCTCAGCAATTTAGTGAGGCCCTGAAAAAACTTAGGGCGGGGGGGGGGGCTTATTTAAAAATAAAAACAGGCTGGGAATATGTTTCAGTGGTTGAATGCCCCTGGGTTCAATCCCTGGTACCAAAACAAAACAACATCTGCCCCCCCCCCCAACCAAACCAAACCAAAAACAAAGAATCTGGAGGCCAATGTTTTATAAACAGGGCCAATATCCAACATTGGATTTCAGAGTGGGCTAGCAGGGCAGCAAGCAAGTATATAAAGCATAGCATGAACCACATTAATTTAATCAGTGCTAAGATGCAGGAAAGTCTAATGGTTAAGAAGAATACAACCTGGATGAGAGTGTAGCTCAGTGGTAGAGTGTGTGATTTGTATGTATGAGGTGCTGGGTTCAATCTTTAACACTATTTAAAAAAAAAAAAAAAAAAAAAACAGAAAAAGAACATAGGCTTTCTGGTTTTGTATCTCAGACCACTTACTGGTGTGTTACCTTGGGCAAGTTGCTTATCTCTGATTATTTTCTGATCTGTAAAATGGGGATCATTATTTATCATTCATGAGCTTGTACTGAAGATTAAATAACTAATCACATTAAACAGACACAAGACTAAATGGCATTTAGTGAGCTTTTGACAAATATAAACTACCATAATTTTGCAATGACTTCTGTTAACTATTTTTAAGAATCTTCTTAGCTATCATTTCCATATAATAAATACTTTCAAAAAGGCTCTTTTCATAACAAAAGATCTCATCTACCTATTTTCTTTCTTTTAAAGTGAGTTTGTTGCCAATGAGCAGGTATTAAATTTTTCCCAACTTTTATCATTCCATTTACATTGTTTTCAGAAAAGTATAATCTGTATCTATAAACCTATATAAATAATAGAGAGATGAAGAAATAGGTCATTTTCTTACCATTAAATGTTTGCTGTAAATGTGTAGGCAGAGGTGAATGGGAAAGTGTTGCTGTATGCTGAGCTCCTGGCTGTAAACCCTTTAGTAAATCTGAGAAGAAAACAGAATTTGTCAGTGATCTTTCAACAAAGATTTAAGCTTTCTTAAAATCGAACCTAAAAATAGTTCAATTTATCTAAAGCCCCGAATTCAAAGGCCTTCTAAAACTAGAATATATATATTTTTTWAAAGTTTACATATGTAAATGCAGTTAAGTATATGCAAAAACCGAACAAATTTGACTTCCTTTTATAATTTCACTTAGAAGTGCAGTATAGAAGGTTCATTAGTACATTCTAAAACTGTAAATAAATTCCCAGAGTCCAGTAAGTTGACTTCTAGATGAAATCAACTATGCTTCTTTTTTAAAAAACCTATATTCTCCCAGAATTCCAACTGGACTGCTCTCAGTCAGAATCAATGACTGAGGCTCCCTGTTCTCTCACACTAGACAGYCAAGGAAAAGAAAGGCCCCACTTACTCTGAGTGAGGCTATGGTGGAAAGCGGCTGAGGTAGATCCTGAGGTGGCTGTCACTCCAGCTGTGTCCGTTCCAAAGCCAAGTAGCTCCAAGGGAAACTGGAAGGGCATGGTCACTGGAACAAGGCCACCCAGCATCCCAAAAGGAGTCACATTTTGATTTGTTACAGACAAAGGTGATGTCATGAGAGTCAGAGGTGAGGCATTAGCCAATAATGATGCTCCTGCTGTGGACTGTGCAGAAACCAGGGGTCAAAATAGATAAGAAATAGAGCAGTCAACCTAAATTGATTTATTGTATTTAATAGCCTCATGGATGCAAGACTGTGTCTTGTATCTGTTCTAATAAACTCTGTGAGAGAAAATTAAGACTGAGGTGAAAATTATATTTTAAAGAGCTACCAATATTGATTTTGAAAATCTGCAAATTACATTTAGAATTTCTTTACAGAAATTCAGCTATTCACCACTTTAGACCCCCTCTTAACTGGTCAACATGATTCACTCTCCTAATCTAACTTCTACCCKTACATTTCCACTTCTTCACTTTTGCTCCAGGCCCACAGACATGAATCAGTATAGAAATAATTCCATGCAATTTCACATGGTTCAATCCTTAACACTACTAAAAAAACTCATCTTCTTCTGGCTTGTCACCATCTCTCCTGGCACAATCTGTGCAACCGCTGCTCTTGCCAGCCCCTAATCTATAGTCTTGACTTCCACAATAACCCCTATAAAGAGATGAAGTCACCTGGATGTTCTTCCTCATCTTTAGCCTTACTTGCCCTTCCCCATGGGTAACTGACAACCACCTGGCCTGTGCTACAAATCCCACCTTGCAGAGCTTTCTTATAGAAATCTCCAGTATCACATTTTTTCCATGTTTCCTCTGCTTCTTATATACAGACCTCTAATTCATATTTACAGTCACAGTTATTCTTGACTCTTCTCCAACTCCTAGTAACAATCTAATTTATTTGTCTTTCTTTTATTATAAAACTTGCTGAACTCACAGCTTTCTTTTCCACATCTAGTTTCTCCTTACCCTCTGAAAAGACTCCCTAAGGTAAAAGGTAAACTAGTGTTTTCATGCTCCTCCACCTGATCTTTGAGGTGCTGTTTGTGAATAAAGGCATTTAGATCAGAAATATGCTAACACTGATGAGCTTTCATGGAAAACTACATAAATATACCCCTTAAGCTAATTTAATTCTTTCAGGAATTTTGTATGCTGCAATTAAATGATTTTTCCCATTTTGACTTTTTTTCTTTTCTATATGTAATTATCAACAAATATTTGATACTATCAAGTTTGTGCCACTGAGTTTTCTTTTGCAGCCTTATTTTACAAAATATATACTTATTTTACAAAATATATACAGTTAAAAATACAAAATATATACAGTTAAAAACTTTATAGTTATAAATGCGGTCAAGAAAATGGAATTCTTTAAATTTTTTTAGTCAATAATAAATGTTAGCTATTATCAGTTTTATTTTGGATGTTATTTCTTCCCCAAACCCCATTCTAATAAAAAGTGGTGGTATTATTACTTAGTCAACTATAAGGAAAATATACACAATTTTTCTGTATGTGTATGGAACACTGCATGGATTTGTACACTTAAAGAGTTCATGCCACTGCTAGACAAAATGTGAAGAATGTTCTTTAGAAGTCTTTTACTTTGGTTATTGAACTTGTTCTTTTATTTCCTCCCCTTCTCTCATCTCCTTTGCTATTGTTGACATTTGTGGCTTCTTGTTTCAACTCTAATCCTGTGTATATGCGAGTTTGGTGAAAGGTCACACTGGTGCATCTGAAACTCACTGACCTGAYGTGTCCCGAACTGGAATCTCCTTCTCCAGTCAGCCCCACCTCCTGCTAGCTGGAAAGTCTGCTCCTTTCTAGCCACTGAGGCTGGGAACCTTATTTTTCAGGCCTCATAAAATGAAGGATGAGATAAGCTCATAGTCAACAAACCCATTCTTTCTTTTTTACCAGAACCACTTCTCATTTTAGTACACATCTTCATCAGTTTACACTTGGACTTGATAGCTTTTTAAATTTGCCAGTTTTTTCCTCTACTGTGCCAACTACGATACAAAGAGGTGCATTTAAGAAAAAAATTACCAAGTTAGAGTTAATAATGTCTTAAAATGACTAGGACAAAAGCATTTAAAAATTAGCAAGTCGTTTCTTCATTTTAATCATAATTTTATGACAGAAGRCAATGACAAGGATGATATAGAGTCTCCAAGGTTGTGTGCTCAACTGGTGACCCCCCCCCCCAGTGAAAAACACTAAATCTAATACGGAGAACCTTTTAAATTTTTTTCTGGGGGAGTCTAATTGAAGCACTAAAATGGATGGAAAATATAAATTAAGGCAAGTTCAAAACTAAATAACTTGAGTATTAGCAACAACCAAAAAAAACCCATGCCATAACTAACGCTTTATACTTTCTAAGAATTTCCATACCCACCTTTGTTTATAAATCTAAACTGAAGCACCAGAAAATTTAAATGTTATGTGTGCAATTATCAACTTCTCTAAGATGGAGCTCTTTCAGAAGYGAGGAGTCTGCTGCTAACATTCATCATGAAGTAGGTGAACAGTTCAGACAATGACCCATAACCAGGGAAAATAAGAAGGGAAACCTTTTTCTTCCTATGGTGGGCATGAAACCTTTTTAAACCATGTGTTCTATTTTGGTATTTTTGTTCTATTTTGCATCTGTCCCCTATTCTCTACAGTACCTACAGTGATCTTTCAAAACATAAATTAGACCACACCACTCCTTTGTTTAAGACTGCTCTCCAATAGCATTCCTGCTACATACAGAATAAAATCCAAAAGTATTACTGTGGTGCACCCTGACAAAGTTCTCCATGACACAGTGAGGTCTCTTTCCCCCAACAGTCTAGGCCTTCAACCCATGCTCTTTTCCCTCTTAATGTCTTCACACTGCCATTCCTTATCACCTGGACTTTACAAGACTAGCTCCTGTTCATTTGATCCTTAGTTTAAATGCTACCTCCTCAAAGAGGCTACTTCATTCTTTTTTCTGTTAGCACCTCTTTATCGGTGCTTTATTATTTTTTTTCCACAGTACTTGTTATGTTTTTTTTAAAAAAACTGTGTTTAACTCATCTTTCTAYCTAAAATATATGCTCCATGAGAAAGGAACAGTGTTCCTCAATACCTACAAGAGTGCCTGGCACATAGAACATACTCAATCAACATTTACTGAATGAATAAGTGGGTTTTGGAATTATAAAGTAGCAATGACAGGATTCACAGAAAATCTGTATATTGAAGAGCAAGAAAGAACAGAAAATCTCTGGGTGGAACACTGTTAAACAGAAAGTAGGCAGAGGTAGCAACTTGAACCCAGAAAGATTTTAACTTATGTCCTTTGTTAAAGGGCCTGTCATTTTCACTGCAAATGAGTAGATAGCTTCAGATGCCTTTCAGACAGGAGGTGAATACTTCACAGGAAGTCTGCTTTCAGGATAAAGTGCTAGGACAGATCTGGAGGCTATAAGGTAGCTGATGAGACTTCAATGGATGCTATGTCAATAAGAAAACCACCTTAGGTTCACAAAGGGTAGAAATGACCTTTCTTCAGTCAAAGCAGTAAGAGAAAAAAAATTAGATCAGATATGAAGGCAGGGACATTGGATCCTCCACATTATAAAGCCATTTGGGAAACAAAGAAAACAAGGAGGGAGTAGTTACTTGTCAGAAACACAAATTCTGGCATACAGATTTCTTGTTGGCAAACCAATTCTTTGTTAGACAGTATCTGGGTTCTTTGGAAATAAATGATCAAACACAGGAAGTTCTTTGGAGAAAATATAGAATGGATAGATTCTGCAGATGACAAAGGATGAAGAAAGTTTTAAACTTATACTCAAAGAAAAAGAAACAAGTAAAAAAATTTTTCTTTTTTAGCTCTAGGAACCACCCCCCAAAATTTATAAAGCAAGCAAATAAAACCACAATTATGATATTTAGCTCGAGAGAGACAATATTTACATAGTGAAGATTTTTTTGTGTGTGTGTGGTGCTGTTTGATTGAACCCAACAGGGCCTTGTGCATGCGAGGCAAGCACTCTACCAASTGAGTTATCTCCCCAGCCCACATAGTCAAGAATTTAACCAAAAATTGTAATTATTCTTTGAGAAGAATAAGGCAGGTACGTATAAGAGAACTATGAGTCTCATTTTTCATAATAAAAAGATAAAAGATACTATAGTACTAAAATTGATAAAATTAAGAGTTTTTTAATTACTACTGTTATTTAGAAATAAATATGTAGAAGAAAAATATTTAAAAGTGATGTTAAAAAGAAGGCTGTGGAGTAGGCAAATGYCATTTTTGAGAGAATTCTACTGATTCATTTGATCAAATTAAAAGTTAATTTTTTTAAAAAAGTGTCAACTTTTTAGCAAAGATAACACAAAAGCAATGAGRAATAATTCCCAGTCTTTACCTATAATTAAAAATTTAATTTGCAATCTCTAATAACAATTTTGTTGTCATTATTTCTTTTCCTTTCTTTTTCTTTTTCGCAGTGCTGGGGATCATACCAAGGACCTTGCATGATAGCCAACTAAACAACCCCTGAGCTACATACAAACCTCTTCTTTTTTGAGACAGGATCTCACAATGTTACCCATGCTGACCTTGAACTCCTGAACTCAAGTGATCCTTCTGCCTCAGGCTCCTAAGTAGCTGGAACTATAGGATCCTGCCACCTCCTGCTCAGCTTTAATTTCTTATTTTTGACTTAAGTAAAATTATACAGATAAAACATCAGTTAATACTTCAATTACTGAAGTACCATTCAACTGAATTTGTTCTACATTAGAATTTTGGAAGTCAATGCTAAATCTACTTAAAGGACAGCATGATAACTTGGGTATTAAATAAGTATTGAACATAAACCCTTATATAGCAATGAACAGTAGGGTACCTCTACAAATAGCAAAGAGAAATCCTTATGTTACACATTCCTAGTCCACATACATAGGAAGCAGAACAAAGTTTTCAGAGTAATTTCTTAGACAATACAATTTCATAAAACAATAAAAGTAATGTTTTCAAAGAATATTTTAAAAACCTAAGACCTTGCACATCATGGTACATTTTTTAAAAAGCTGGTTATGAAACAGAATATTATGTCAAACAAACTTTCTTGAAGAGTAAAATGATATTGAATGCAGCAATGAAATGTATGAATAATAAAGACTTCTCAAAAAACCTAGGATAAATGAAACCAATATCTTGGACTGAAAAAAAAAAAAAATCAGCCAGGTCTGAAATTAAGAGGAATTACTATTTTAGGTGCAAAATTAATGAAAACTAAGCAAACCTGGCCATAGTCTAACAACACTTGGATTTCAAGGAAAAAAGAGAAAACTTTTACTAGCATTTAGGCAGAGAAAACAAATTACTCATAAAAGGAAATTTAAAAATCAGTATGGCTTTAAACTTTTCTATAATCTTAACACTAACCAAGGGTCAGGGGAGCAATATTTAAAATTTTGGAATGAAACAGTTAATGACCCAAGAAGCACATATGCACTAAAGTGTGACAGCACAGAAAAATGAATGTGTATGCAAAAGCTACAGTAAAGGGCCATCTGTGCTACCCTTCACACAGATTCCTGCGTAAGGCACTCCAGCTAATTTGAGAGGCGAGTTTAAGTTAAAACTCATGACCAGGGAAAATGTGGCATAAAAGAACTATTGACACCATTTGACAGAAGAGAATTACATATAAATTACTATAAAAGTAATGTAAAAATTTAAAACCCGAGAAGATAAATGCTTAAAAAAAATAAAAAATAATACAAACGAATAAATTTGACTAAAAAATTTCAGAAGAAAAGGGAAGAGACAAGTGAATGTATGTTAAATTAATAAGCTACTACTTTTTAACTTTTTAAATAGAGTTCCAAATATGCACTTCAGTTGTATTTGTCAACAAATGTTAAGGTAAACATGATACTTTGCTAGAAAAAAAATCCACATCCTCCCAAAAAAACCTTATTCACATATGTGTCCATCACTGTGCTGTCAAAACCAGGAATATTCCATGGCCATGCTGTAATCAGCCTATAATGAACAGTGTATATATATTATAGTAAACTCATTAAAGTGACTAATTTTATCAGATGAACATCCAGAACATACATACCTGCACACTGGCTGTTACCACTGAAGACCCTGAGGCTGAAGATGGTCTATGTGGAGTAGACAACGGTTTAGTAGCACCCTGTGTTCCACTTCCTGTTCCCCCAGATAGACTAGTTCTATTAGTTCCGCTTGAGTTAAGGTTGCTACCTCTGCTGGCAGGTACATTCATTGCAATTCCACTCAAGCTGTTCTTCCCAACAGTTCCAGTGGATGATGAGTTTGTTAGTTTTGAAGGGGCCTGAAGATTTTTTGTAGATGGAAGGCCTGAAGTGCGATTAGAGGGCAATAAATTCAAGGTGGGAGACTGCCTGCTGATGTTGACTCCACTGGGCTGTTTATGAACTGGGTTGTTACTGGTGGAGTGGCAACTCTGGGCTACTAGTGCACTTGGACTGGAAGAACTTGGGGATACAGTAGGCTTGGGAGTGGGGTTGGACTTAGAAATAAGTTTAGTCGATACTGAAGGCTTAGCTGAAAGAGAGGGCTTGGGTGAAGCAGAAGGCTTGGGTGAGGGCAAGGGTTTGGGAGACGTAGCAGGTTTGGGAGATGCGGCAAGTTTTGGGGATGCAGCCATTGAAAAAGGAGATTTGAAACCCTGCGTGGAAATCTGTGACACCATAGCCTTGGCTAAATAGTTACTAGAGGTAGTGGTGCTCGGTGCTGTCCTAGAAACCAGGGGGTGGGACCCCTGAGAACCATTTCCAGGCGAGGGCGTAGATAAGGGAAGGCGGTATATAAGTGGCTTATCTGAAGTCTTAATGAGTGGGGATGAACAGGTAAGCTGGGGATTATTACTTAATTTCACCACTGGGTTGGTATGTGATTTACTAATGGTTGCTTGTAATGGAGACACATAGTTCTGTTGGACAGCTGAATGCTGGTGCACCTTTGTTACTTGTGTTAACGAAGAAGCTTCTTGGGCCTCGGATGTTCCCAGAGCATGAGAGGAGGCAGCAACTTGGGCTTGRGAAGAGGAGACATGAGTCTGCGAAGAGGAAGAAGCATGAATCTGGCTTGACCTTTGTAGTCCTTGCTGAAGTAGCCTGGCTGGCAAAGGTTCTAAGGAAACTTTAGGGTTCTGAATTGAAGAACCAGCAATAAGGCCTGAAGAGATGCCAGTATGAGCTAAATCCTGGGGTTTCTTTGGTACTGGCACAGTGTGGCCAGCAATAAGACTCGATGAATGTGCAGTCTGAGTAGAATCTAGTTTTTTGGGAGTAGTCAGTGGCAGCTTACTCATGATACTTGCTAATTTTTCTTCTCTCAGTCCTGGACGAGGTTTTGTAGTTGGCATGTTTATTCTTGGACCAACTGTAGGGCCCTTATTCCCATTGTTGATGACAGCTAAAGCTTCAGAAACAAGATCTAGTGAAGGTGAGTGGTAAGAAAGGTCTTCGTCTAGGGAGTCGTCGAGGCAGATGGTTTCCTGGGCTGGTGTTGAGCTGGAGCTGGCTGAGGCAACAACAGAAGTGCTGGAGCTTGTGGAAGGACCACTGGCTGAAGCCACCAAGGATGCAGGAGCTTTCTGGTCCTTTTTTGGGCTACACTCCTAACATAAGCAGCATTATATAGAAAAAATACAAACAGTTTTTAAAAAATTAGAAAGTCAGTTTTTAAAGGACCAAGAAACTATCATGATGACTAAAAATAGTTTTTCTATTGGAAAATCTTGACAGACTGCCAAAATAAAAATAATTTTCAAGAGAACAGAGCTCCTGACTGAGCTGTCCTCACTAGACAAAGTATCTAATACACTGCACTGCCATACCCTTGACAGCCATTCTAAGACAACAGCTAAAAATGAGGTCAAAAGACTAATACATAGCAGTGACTGAGGAGCTCAATTTCTATAGCCCATCTGTATCAGATCTTCAAATCCTACTCCAAATCCATCTGCTTAGAGATTTTTCTCTTTTTATTCTCCAGGAGAAAACTGTGCCTTTGTATTAAGACGTGACCCTTCTTTCTTTCTTTTTTTTTTTTTTTTGTGGTGTTGGGGATTGAACCCAGGGTCTTGTGCATGTGAGGCAAGCACTCTACCAACTGAGCTATATCCCCAGTCCAAGACTATTCTTCTTGTCTAGTAAGGTTTGCAAGAATGCTGATCCTCTGACTCTATACCCTTTGCCACAGCTATTCACAGACAGTACATAAGGAAAATGGCACATCAAATTGACAAAAAAGATGAATTTTTTGAGCATATTAAAATCATGTTTTCTAGTCATCTGGTACAAGTGATTATACGTTGTAATTTTTTCAACATATATTTACTGGGTTCCACTATGAGCAAAGACCTATGCTAAGAAAATAAGGGTAYATGGATGGGGCTGGGGTTGTGGCTCAATGGTAGAGCGCTTGCCTAGCATGTGTGAGGCACTGGGTTTGATTCTCAGCACCACATAAAAATAAAGARAGAAAGTAAGAAAAGAAGGGTATATTAGAAGTTATAACTCTGAATGCCCAAGAGGATACTAATTTCTCAAAAAATTAACTTTCTTAATAATAAGACTAAATTATTACATAAGTCATTTCAAAGTCTCTTCAGTTTCTTAAAAAGAAACAAACCCAAACTCCAACCCAGAGTATATAACAAGTATTAGTGATTAATACAACCATAGCACTTACCTTAAGCATAGTGGGGAAAGAATGGAGAGGAAGGGTCTTTCCTATCACCTCCTAAGGTATTACAGTAAGTAAGCTGTTAAGAATGCTGTTATACTCTAATTTCCTTAGCATTTTTTTTCCCCTAAACTTTTATTCTAAGACCCACAACTAAAAACCTTACTGCTTATCAGAAGTGCTGCACAAGATCACAAGTATCTGCTGAGGTGAATGGGTCAAGTGCATAAGATAGTCATCTAATTAAGTGATTAGTGAAAATTCCATCATTTTAGCTGCTGCTGCTTCTTTTCCCCCTTATGGTGCTGGGGACTGAATCTAGAGCCTCACAAATGCTAGCTCTATCATTGAGCTATCTTCCCAGTTCTAAATTCCCTCATTATAAAGAATATAGAATTGAGGTGGGGGAATGTATCAGAATAAGATTTAATGTGTTACCAGTAAAAATTTACTGTTTTAAATAACTCCTCAAAAATTAATAGTTTTATAAAAACATCAAACCTCATTAACTAACAGAATACTGTGTAGACTTATATTGGCAAGAGAAAAGTGTTCAGGATGCCCGAGTCAAAACATACGTTATTCCACTTTGAATAAATGAAGGATTGTTAGGGTGGATGGAAAGAAATAAGGAAGAAAGATCCATAAGAAAAGAGAAGGCAGATGTGGACCAGAAAGTTTTTTACTTTTGTTTTCCCCTCTTAGAAGAAATTTCTGGTACACTTTTTCTCCTGCAAGTATTTCCTTAAATTACCTTTATAACTAAAAAAGGTATGAAGGGGATGGGATGTAGCTCAGAGGTAAAGTGCTCGCCTGGCATGTGTGAGGCCCTGGTGCCTTCCCCAGTGCTGCAGGGAAAAAGAAGTCCCTGGGATAGGGGTGCAGTAGGAAACATCTAAACTAGCAATAGCCTTTTCACTTCGGGAAAATGAAAAAAATAATTTCATCATAGAGAAAGCAAAACCAATTAGCCCTCCCTCCAATAATTTCCTCATATTATTCTAACACATCTTTATTAGAAGTCTGATCAGTTTCTTACCCTATTATTTCATAATAATATTTCAATTGATGTTATCAAAATTTAAACAAACCTTTATATAGGGCATTAAGATTAGTATTCTAATAAAACAAAGGTATGTGTCAAAACAATAAGAAATTAGGTTAAAAATCATTAAACATTATTAAGCCCCAAAAAGAATTTTTAAAAAATATTYATTTTTCAGCTATAGGTGGACACAACATCTCTATTTTATTTTTATGTGGTTCTGAGGATCGAACTCAGTGCCCCACGCATCGTAGGTGAGTGCTCTACCTCTGAGCCACAACCCCAGCCCTCCTCATAAGAAATTAAAAGAAAGATAAGATCAACATTATTAAGGCCACAGGCTGACCTTCTGTCTGGCCATCACCTTACAAATAAACTCATCTATTCAGAGATAAAGTATATAGAGAAAACCCAGGGTATTTAAATTTCAAATGGCTGTATTTTGGGGGGTGGGGTGGGGTGGAGCCAGTACTGGGGATTGAAGGCAAGAATACTCGACCACAGAACCATATCCCCAGCCCTATTTTGTATTTTGAGACAGAGTCTTACTGAGTTGCTTAGCACTCATTTAAAAAAATATATTTTTAATTGTAAATGGATACCTTTATTTTGTTTATTTATGGTTTTTTTGTGTGGCGCTGGGGATTGAACCAGGGCCTCACACATGCTAGGCAAGCGCTCTACCACGGAGCCCAACCCCCTAGCGCTTCACTTTTGCTGAGGCTCTTTTGAACTCCTGATCCTCCTGCCTTAGCCTCCCAAGCTTTTTTTGGTGGTGTTGGGACGGCACCAGGGCCTCTCCAAAGCCCAGCTCATGCTCTCTGGTGAAGTGCCACCTCCGCTCATGTTTGACATAATTTACAAGAAGTAAGCCTCTGAGGGCCTAGGATGAAAGCACATTATACCAGAGAGAATTTTTGCTTTTGCCAGTTGCCCTGGGTTATTACTAACCATATAATTTTAGCTATTCTGTCAGCTTAGAGTTTTCCCAGATTATGYGGGTCATATAAAACAAACTCCTAAACCAGGAAAAATTTTTAAAGACTCCACCTACCCCCATTCTTGAATCCAAGCTAAGATAGAAAATGTTTCTAATTTCTGTTAATTGTAAATTTTTCTTCTGATTTTTTTTTCTTTTTTTAAAAAAAACCTAAAGATGCTATCTTGAGGGCCCAGCTTTAGGCAGGTCTCATTCTAACTTCTGATCTGTTCAAGCCTGAGAAAACCCCATCTGCTATATTCTGAGAAGAAACAGAAAGAAACCATAGGTGATAGGTAGAAGTTCAGAAGGCAAYCAAGATCTCAGGGATAGATGATAACGGCAGCAGCTCCTTATCTGTAGGTTTTGTTGCTGYTGTTGTTGGTTTGTTTTTGTTTTTTGGTACTGGATATTAACCCCTGAGGCTTAATCACTGAGCTATACTCCTARCCTGTTTTTTTCTTTTAATAAGGTCTTGCTAAAATGCTGAGACTAGCCTCAAATTTACAATCCTACTGCTTTAGCCTCCTGAGTTGCTGGGATTATAGACATATGCCACTATGCCCAGCTGCTCCTCCTTTCCTTTTGACTTCGGAATTTCTCTTATATATTTGCAACCTCATCTTTTTTTTTTTTTTTTTTGGTGGGAATCATTGGGCACTCTATCACTGAGCCGCAATCCCAGCTCTTTTTATTTTTTATTTTGAAACAGGGTCTCAGTAAGTTTCTTTGGCTGTTCTAAAATGCGCGATCTTCCTGCCTTAGTCTTCCAAGTTGACTGGATGACAGACATGGGCTACCACATCCAAATTGAAAGATATTTAAAAGAAGTATTTTATTCAGTATTTCTAAGAATTGTTAAGCTTTACGATTTAATTAGTACACGTAAATTCCTACTACTACATGGTCATCTGTTTTCCCAAATACAAAGGTTATAAGATTTTTACAAAGTTGAAAATAACCAGGCTGGGATTGGAGCTCAGTGGTAGAGTGCTTACTTAGCCCATGTGAGGTTCCTTAGCACCACAAATAAATGACTAAAATAAAGGTATTGTGTCCATCTACAAAAAAAAAAAAAAAAAAAAGAGAGAAAAGAAACAACTAAAGGCTATTTCATTGATGATCTTCATTAAACGCCATACATATTTTACATCTTAAAAATGTATTCCAACATTCAGTAATTATGACTATGATACTCACCTTTACTTTGGGTTTGGGTGCAGGAATCACCTTTTTCTTTGCCCTAAAAGATTAAAACAGAGGCCTTTCAGTAGTAGTTGTATCACTCTCTAGGAAAGGAACACATATGAATCTTATAATTAAGCAAATTTCTCCCAATATTTGGAAAGCTCTTTGGATGAAGTTAAAAAAAAATATAAATACTTGGTCTATCAGAATATTCAGCAACACTTTTCCCAATTCAGATTAAACACAAGAAAATGCCAATTAGTAAAATATGAAATGTAGATGATAAAGTTAAAGAAACAAATATAAATATATAAAATATAAGTTAAAACAGTTTAACAAAGCTGCCTAGGAAACTTACTTCAAAGAACTACTAAGAATTTACAGTTATTCGTAGGAAAACAGCTTCAAGAAACTTCACACTAAAATTGGACCATGATAAGGAACTGTAAATTGCATTTTACTTAAAAAAAAAAAAAAAACTTACATTTTCCTATAAAGTTATTTTTTTAAATGTAAACATTCAAATAAAAAATGTAAAAACAACAACAAAAAAGAGCAGGATAAATACTATGGAACCTTTGGAACTGCATGAAAAGTTTAAAAATTATAAAACAATCTTATGGGTTCCACAGAAGAAAAAACTCAAATGTTTTTGAATAATTAAATGAGTGACAAACTTAAATACTTCATCCCATCTGAGTGTTTTTATTTCATTACGGTAAAATGTCATCAATTAGACTAACACACATCTTGATTTAAACTGTGAATCTTTAGTTTCATAAAGACARYGGTAATTTTCAAAGTTTTTTTGGTGAAGGCCATGAGAGCAAAAGTCTTCCTTTTTACTTATCTTACAGAATCCTGCTTTCTTGTACAAAATCAAACAAAACACAAAACTAGCAATGATAATGAAGCTATTTTAACCTAGTGAAGGGAAATGGTGGGCACAGTGCTGTGTGCTTGCAGTTCTAGCTACTCAGAAGGCTGAGGCAGGAGAATTATTTGAGCTCAGGAGTCCCAGGACAGCCTGGAACTCAACTTAAAACAAATACAAAAACAAAAACTGAGGGAGAGAACCTACATAAACACCTTTAGAATTAAAACATGAGTCAGTTTGTATTTGTTTTTTTGTTTAGGGGTGTTCCTTTTTTTTTTTTTGTTTTAGTTCTTTTTAGTTACACATGACAGTCGAATCTATTTTGATATATTTATACAAGCATGGAGTATATCTTATTCTAATTGGGAGTCCAGTCTTGTGGATGTACACGACAGAGAGATTCACTGTGATGTAATTATATATGTACATAGGAAAGTTATGTCAGATTCATTCCAAAGCCTTTCCTATTCCTATACCCACTCCTTCCCTTCATTCCCATTTGTCTAATCAACTTCTATCCTTTCCCTCCCCAACCACCTTTGTGTGTGTTAAGATCCACATATTTCTTTTTTGGGGGATTTACAAATTTTACTTAGCATGATAGTATCCAGATCCATCAATTTACATCTTCCWTATGGTTGAATAATATTCCACTGATATGCCACAATTTCTTTATGGATTCATCTGTTAGTGGGCATCTAYATTGCTTCCATAGCTTAGCTATTATGAATTGTGTTCCTAGAAACATTGATGTGGCTGTGTCACTGTAGTATATGCTGATTTTAAATCCTTTGGATATATGCCAAGGAGTGAGATAACTGGATCTCATGGTGGTTCCATTTCTAAGTTTTTTTAAAATATATATATATTTTTAGTTATAGGTGGACCACAATATTTTTTATTATTTTTTATATCTTTATTTTATTTTTATGTGGTGCTGAGGATTGAACCCAGTCCCTCATGCATGGTAGGCAAACGTTCTACCTCTGAGCCACAATCCCAGCCCCCATCTCTAAGTTTTTTGAGGAATCTCCACACTGTTTTACAGAGTGCTTGCATAAATTTGCACTCCCACCAATGTATCAGTATTCTCTCTTCTCCACATCCTCACCAACATTTATTGTCACTTGTATTCTTTTTTTTTTAAGATTTTTTTTAACATTTATTTTTTTAATTATACGTGGACACAATAACTTCATTGTATTTTATGTGGTGCTGAGGATCAAACCCAGTGTCAGGCAAGCACTCTGCCTCTGAGCCCTAGCCCCAACCCTGTCACTTGTACTCTTGATAATTGTCATTCGGGTTGGTGTGAGCTGACATATCAGTGTAGTTTTAATTTGCATTTCTCTGATTGCTGGAGATATTGAACATTTTTTCATATACTTGTGGACTGTATTTTTTTGAGAAGTATCTGTTTAATTTCTTTGTCCATTTATTGATTGGGTTATTTGGAGTATTTTGGTGCTAAGCTTTTTTAGTTCTTTGTGTATCTTGGAAATTAATATCTTATTGGAGGTGTGTGTGGCAAAGATTTTCTCCCATTCTCTAGGTTCTTTTTTCATRCTCTTGATTGTTTCCTTTGCTGTGAAATAGCTTTTTAGTTTGATACCATCCCATTTATTGATTTAAAAAATTTGTTCTTATTTTAGTTGTACATGACACTAGACTCTATTTTGATACATTCCATTTTTGATTGTACATCTTGCATTTCAGGAGTCTTACTGAGGAAGTTGGTTCCTAAGCTGACATGATGGAATGTTCGCCCTACATTTTCTTCTAGTATGTGCAGAGTTTCTGGTCTAATTCCTAAGTCTTTAATATACTTTGAATTTTGTGCAGGGTGAGAGAGGGGTTAAATTTCATTCTACTACACATAGATTTCCAGTTTTGCAAGCACTATTTGTTGAAGGGGCTATCTTTTTTCCAATGTATGTTCTTGGTGCCTTTGTCTAGTATGAGATAGCTGTATTTATTTGGGTTTCTTCTATTCTAGATCATTGGTTTTCATGTCTATTTTGATGACAAAACCATGCCTGTTTTTACCAATACCAGCTCTGTAGTATAATTTAAGGTCTGGTATTGTGACGCCTCCTGTTTGGCTTTTCTGACTAAGGATTGCTATGGCTATTCTTTCTGAGCCTCTTATTTTTCCAAATAAATTTCATGACCACTTTTTCTACATTTTAAAATTCTTTTTTGTAGCTGTAGATGGACAGAATTCCTTTATTTTATTTTCTTATTTTTATTTGGTGCTAAGGATTGAACCTAGTGCCTCACACATGCTAGGTAAGTGTTCTGTCACTGAGCTATTGCCCCAGCCCTGCTTTTTCTATTTTTATGAAGAACATCATTGGAATTTTATTGGGAATTGCATTAAATTTGAATAGTGCCTTTGGTAGTATGGTCATTTTTCCAATATTAATTCTGCCTGTCCAAGAACATAGGAGACCTTTCCATCTTCTAAGGTTTTCTTCTATTTATTTCTTTTTTTTTTTTTAAGAGAGAGAGAGAGAGAGAGAGAGAGAGAGAGAGAGAGAGAGAGAGAGAATTTTTAATATTTATTTTTTAGTTCTCAGCGGACACAACATCTTTGTTGRTATGTGGTGCTGAGGATCGAACCCGGGCCGCACGCATGCCAGGCGAGCGCGCTACTGCTTGAGCCACATCCCCAGCCCCTTCTATTTATTTCTTTAGTGTTCTGTATTTTCATTGTAGAAGTCTTTTACCTCTTTTGTCAGATTGGTTCCCAAGTATTTTATTTTTGTTGAGGCTATTGTGAATGGGATAGTTTTCCTAACTTCTCTTTCAGCCGATTCATTATTGGYATATAAGAACACAACTATTTATCGGTGTTAATTTTGTATCCTGCTACATTGCTGAATTTGTACCTGAATTGTAATGCATGTGGTTTTAGAACTATAGAGAAACTAAAGGCCGTATATATTATCGACACAAATTTATCTCTCTGTGTTTATTTACTTATAGATTTAAGTTCTTGCAACAAAGTAAACTGCAATGTACCCCCAAAAAACAGAAGCAAGGGGAAAGCTGGGTGATGCATGCTTATCGTTAATACATGGTAGGCTGAGATGGGAGGGTCACCTGAACCCAGGAGTTCAAGACCAGTCTGGGAACAAAGCTAGAACTCATCAACATAAACACAAACAAATAACAACAACAAAACACCCCAAGAATAATAAGAACTTAAAACTACAACAACTCAATATAGATCCCTGATGRTATACAAGTGTTCTTCCTAAAAACTTTCATCTGTTATAACAATATAAAGGAAAGAATTTTATAATGTTGTTCAAACAATGTCAATCAGACATCTTAGCAGAATATTGAATAGCGTGCTCAATAATTCTTAATAACTTGCTAATTTTAAATTTTAGTAACTCTTTAAGACTACACTTGCAGGCTACAGAAAAGTAGCCTTAATTTGTAGGTACAAAAAATTATGGAGTCGACCAATATTCATCCGAACAGCAACAATATACAATGTTCCCTTTTATTGAATGTAAGGAGGATAAGAGATCTTTACTAACCCTTTCACTAGGCTGGGGTAGGGCACTTGCCTAGCATGTGCAAGGCCCTGGGTTTGAACCTCCAGCATATGTGTGCTCATACACATCATTTCATTAAGGAAACATCCAGTTTTRAACAGAAAGAAGAACACTAAGAGTAGGTTAATTTTGTAGAATAAAACACTCTTCAGGGTAAAGCAGGGTATTTAAGAGAGAGAGAGAGATAGATTGAGCAGGGGGAAAGAGAATTTTAATATTTATTTTTTAGTTTTCGGCAGACACAACATCTTTGTTTGTATGTGGTGCTGAGGATCGAACCCAGGCCGCACGCATGCCAGGCGAGCGCGCTACCACTTGAGCCACATCCCCAGCCCAAGCAGGGTACTTTTGTATATGGAACTGTCCTGGTAAGCTAGGGGCAGAAGGCCATAGGTTACCTATATAGATGGTTAATAAGAGGTAGAAAAAAAAGAACAATAAGACGACAAGATAGAATCCCAGGAACAAAGGGAAACCCTTGAGCTTGTATATTTTCATCATTTTCTATACAAGAATCCCAGGCAGTCTGTGTCACATTCTAGATTCAGGAGGTTTTGAAGAACAGCCTGAGAACTATTTTAATAGACTCTGAGGTCTAAACAGGAAACAGACCAATGATTTATTTTTAAGAAGATGGTGATAAATGGAAATTGATTAAATAAATCGTATTTCAACTAGCATTTAATAAATGGTACATCTCCTTACTAAAGCTACAAGAATAAAGATAAATCAAGAAATCTGGAGTCTGCATTTACTCACGGAGCAGAAGTAAGATGATTATGTACACTCCGGCTTTCCTTAAAAAGCATTCTGGAAAAATTAAAAGGATACAATTATTATTATTATTATTTTAAAGAGAGTGAGAGAGGAGAGAGAGAGAGAGAAATTTTAATATTTATTTTCTAATTCTCGGCGGACACAACATCTTTGTTGGTATATGGTGCTGAGGATCGAACCTGGGCCGCACGCATGCCAGGCAAGCACGCTACCGCTTGAGCCACATCCCCAGCCCCAATTATTATTTTTTTATAGCAGATAATAACATAATTGCTTTATTTTTCCTACAAAATCATTTGACTTACAATAGGTTATCATTTGCATGTTTACCAAATAAAGATACTGGTATTAGTGTGCTCAATTATGGAGTTTTATCACCTCTACTTGTTTAATATTTTTAATAAATGGAACACAATTTGAAATGGTGGGGTAGGTAATGTAGCTTATGAAGTTTCATACTCTTAAAACTCTTTAGACTTTAAATAGGGCTATTCTTAAGTTTCTCAAGACACTTCACTATTTTCCAAGACCCAACGGTTGCCTATTTTTTCCTTTGCTCTAATTCCTGTATTTGATAGTTCCCCTCCTGAAGTTTATAATAACCATTGTTCTCCCCCCTTTTCTTCCACTAGCAAATTCTGGTACAAAAAAAAACAAAAAACATGATAATTTAAAAAATCACCTTGATATCCATATCTTTATATGCCCACAGGACTGTTTTGGATTTTAAGGGCTTGAAAATTTCAAAGGAGAGGCTATCTGAGATATACTATAAAGAGGTTGAACACATTAAGTTCTTAGCAAAACCAATGTCATGTGTTACTCTCTTACTTTAATAACAAAGTAAGAGAGTAAATCAGAATTCAGGAGGTCAATCTCTTACCTCGCCTGCATCCAGCCCTTAGGCCACAAGGGCTTCACCTCTGTTTCCATGAAGGATTTAAGATAATCTTCAGCAGACTGGCTTTTATTTGGCTCCAACTCATAGCATCCCAATTTGATCTCGACGAGGTTACATAATAAAGTTCTAAATAGATAAAAATATTATTACATATAAATCTGACTATGAAACAATAGAAAATTTTAAGTTTGAAACAGAATTATCTTTATCGAAAGAACTCCTTTGCCAGGCATGGTGGTGCACAGGTTTAATTCCAGCAGCTCGGGAGGCTGAGGCAGGAAGATTGCAAGTTCAAAGCCAACCTCAGTAACTTAGTGAGGCCTTAAACAACTTAGTGAGACCCTGTCTCTAAGTAAAATATAAAAAAATGGCTGGGGATGTGGCTCAGTGGTTAAGCACCTTTGGGTTCAATCCCTGGTACAAAAAAGAGAGAGAAAGAACTCCTTTAGGCTCACTTGACATAGGTTTGTTTGTTTTTAAACAAGTATCACTCATAAATACAAAAAATGGAAAAGAAAGCAAAATAAATTAACTGATTTGTTCAGGTATTCCTAAACCTTCTTCCTATTCACAGTCCAATATAAGTCACTTGATGTCCACATCCTATCATTCTCTGTTCCTTCCAAGTAAGTTATAATACAGTCATTCTTGAGTTCTCCACTACTATTTCTGGAGTATTCTTCCAAGGTACTAACAACAGACTTTTTTTTTTTTTTTAAAGCACACAGTTGTAACAAGAATATTATCTGAAGAATTCAGATAATTAACAAGAAGATGTTTTTTAAAATTTGTCATTCATTGCTCTAGTCTAACCCCAAAATGAAACAATTTCCTTTGACAGGTACCAAAGATAGGTAGAAGAGTTGTCTCTGTGGGGTATAGAAATACTGGCAAGAAAGATGGTTGATTTATGTAAGTATATTGAGTACTTCAACTTCTGAATCCAGTGCAACTCATTCCATTCTTAGTTTATGTTATAMAAAGTATTACATAAAAATGAAAGTGGGGCTGGGGCTGGGGCTCAGAGGTAGAACGCCCGCCTACCATGCGTGAGGCACTGGGTTCGATCCTCAGCACCACATAAAAAATAAAATGAAGATATTGTGTCCACCTACAGCTAAAAAATAAATATTAAAAAAAAAAAGAAAATGAAAGTGATAACAATATAAGGAGGGCTGGGGATGTGGCTCAAGCGGTAGCGTGCTCGCCTGGCATGCATGCGGCCCGGGTTCGATCCTTAGCACCACATACAAAGAAAGATGTCGTGTCCGCTGAAAACTAAAAAAAATAAAATATTAAAATTCTCTCTCTCTCTCTCCTATCTTTAAAAACAAAACAAAACAATATAAGGATATTAGGGCCAGAGTAATGGTCTCCTGAATATATTTTTTCTACATACTCCCCTTTGATTGTTTTCAATCTAGTCTTTCATTTACTACATTTTTCTCATGGTGTTGGGGATTCAACTCAGGGTCTAACACATGCTAGACAAGTGCTTCACCCCTAAGTTACAGTCCCTTTCCCTATTATAGATTCCTTTTATGAGCAACCTTACTTCTCCCACTGTATATTTGGTTAAGAGCAAAGACTGGCTAAATTCTACCTAATTGTGTCATCCCAGTGGAATTTCTTTCTTGGTCCTATGACACGCTTCCCTGGTTTCTCATCATCATCTTCCTCAGATCCATTCTTTTCTCGTTCTTCATCTGTTTGCAACCTAAAAATTGAAAAACCTTTTAAGAAGCAAAGTTTTAACCCTACAATATGTCCCATAAACACTTCCAGAATTGCTTAATTGAACTTTTACTCAAATAACAGACTAAATAGGGAATCTACCTTTTTACATAATACTTTGAGTAAGCTATAAAGTGCTTGGCAAATGAAAGTATCCAAACTATAATATAAAGGCATACTTATCTTTTAGGTCAGAAAATATTTGTGTCCAGCACCAGCTAGTCGAATTAGTCAGTAAATACAATGTCTGAACAGTTTTAGCTCTTGATTTTTTTAAAATATTTTTTTAATTGTAGTTGGACACAATACCTTTATTTTATTTATTTTCATGTGATGCTGAGGATTGAACCCAGGGCCTTGCACATGCTAGGCAAGCACTCTAGTGCTGAGCCATAACCCCAGCCCTTAGCTCTGGATTTGATCACAAACATAAAGTAAATCAACAAAGTCTTTTGCCTTTGACACAAAGCAGTTGAGGTAGCAACATATCATTTAGAAAATATTCAATTTATCATTCAGTGGTGTATGTGGATTTGTACTTGATGATGAAGTCCTGTCAAGACCAACCCCTAACAGCTAAAAGTGTTTCTCAAATGGGAAAGCCTGTCGAAACAGAAGGGGTACATACTTGGCACACTTGGCTTGACTACGAGCCTGGCAATCCTCCTGGTATTTAAATAGCTGTTCAGGCATAACATTGCTAACAGCCAGTTTCAGTTTTTGCAGAGGTTCTCTTAAACGATCATCCTGAGAAAAAAACATACTGAAAGTTTTTCAAATATCTTAACAAAATTTATTCAATGAACAGATTCTTAAAAGGTGAAATTTATGTTTCAAGTATTGATTACAGATTTGAAATGTTAGCATATCTAAATATGGACATTTCTTCAATAGCACTGGCTTTTATTAATTAACACTGGATATAAAATTAGAATGAAAAATTTCCCAGTTTGCCAAGGAGAGTCCCAGCTTTTACTTGTTGCCCTTACAAAACTATTAGTAGTATTTCTTTACATTCTTAAAAAGCCCCATGTTGTTGGGTGTGGTGGTACAACACCTATAATCCCAGTGATTCAGGAGGCTAAGGCAGAGGATTATGAGGTTCAAAGCCAGCCTCAGCAAGACCCTGTCTCTACATGAAATACAAAATGTCCCTGGGTTCAATCCCTGGTACAAAAAACAAAAACAAAACAAAACAAAAMAAAAACAAAACATGTTTTAAATTATATATACTTTATAATACAAATGATGAAATCTACATTGTGCAGATTACTAGACAGTCCCCATTACAATGGGAAAGCACTCCAAAAAGAAGACAGTTCTCTGGAATACTGGAATATATGATCCGCAGGATTTTTTTTTTTTTTTTTTTAGTTGTAGATAGACAAAATATATTTATTTATTTTTATGTGGTGCTAAGGATTGAACCCAGTGCCTCACACGTGCGAGGCAGGTGCTCTACCACTGAGCTACAGCCCCAGCCCTATCTGCATGATCTTGTTTGAGTAGTTACCAACAGGATGTTGGCATCCTGTTCTCTTGGTTATTGTTAGTAATTGTGTCTTATGCTGTAAGCAGAAATGCAAGCTCAAGGCCAAAGTGAAAGAGGAAACTGGGAGACTCTTATCCATATGTGTTCTGGGTAAAAAGGAAAACAAGTAGGTTTTTAATCTAATAGCTCTAATCAACCAACTTATTATTTTCAATCTTGCAAAATAACATAGGTAACTATTTAAAACATATTTTTATCACTATCATAGGTGCAGAAATATTTTAAGACTTAGTTTTCAACTTCAGTAAAACAATGGAATTTTTTGGTTTTTWTTTTTTTTAATCTTTTTGCAGTGCTGGGGGATTGAACCCAGGGCTTAATACATGCTAGGCAACTACTCTACTATGAGGTACATCCACAGCACTAAAACAACTGTTTATAAAAGGTGCTTTTTGGTAGAGATGACTTTTTAGAATACAAATTTATTACTAATAATCATTTTAACCTATCCCATATATATCAATTAATAATTACGAAGCACATGACTATCTGCTATAACAACCCATTTTGCTATAATATCCCATTTTTAAATGTCAACATTCAATATCATGGTTCCTGGATGATTATTTTTGAAGAATTATTTAGCTGAGACCATCTACCTGAAATTAACTGGGATATATTCATACAATAGAACACTATATACAGTGTTCTAATTGCATGCAGTAAAAAATGAATAGATTTCCATTGTATGTACACATACATAAATCTGAAGCACATAATGTTGAGTGTTAAACAGTGAGCTGCAGAAGAAAACAGATAGTACAACTTATATGAAGCTCAAAAAATTAAAAAACTGAACAATATAATGTTCAAGGATTCAAACTATGTGATAGAAAACTTGTTTTTCTACTTCTAATTCCTGCCCCTGCCCCGTACCCATTTCTGCCATTTCAATTATGACAGCAAGCTCCCTCCAACTGCCAATGTTTGAAAGAGCCAGGTAAAGGCACAAAATCTGAGATATTATAATTAAATTCATTCATTAATTTGCTTTGAATTGAGAAAGAATTTATGTCTCTCAATTTACGTGTATAAAGAATCCTATGCTTATCAGATCTTGCTTTCTATACACTGACCAGCCTTAGGAAACATTCTCATAGAGACCTATCAATTATTGAAGAAGTAACTATTTATCAGGGAATCCATAAATACCTTCAATATCTTGCAATGATTATTAAATATGTTCAATATGTTCAATCTGATATAAAGCAATTAATGTACAAAGACCCTAACTAGAAATAATTCTCATTTTGTAGGTTATGAAACCTCAAAGGCAGATATTATTATTGTTCCTCTTACCTGGACATTGAGGTGTAACTTCTTTAGCCGTTTTACCAGTGTTTCTTTATTGCATGGCACAAATGCTTCAAGATGGGAGTAGACACCACTACGAATAACAGGGCCTAATTCTTGTAGCTGTAACTCAATGCTGATCATAAAAACAACAAACAGTATGGAATTTTTTTAGGTGGCAAAGGCTGATTGTTGTTCTCAATTTATACTCCCATGATTTCCCAGACAATATTTTTCATAGAATTTACCTCCCTTTCCAATAAACAGTAAAACTACAGAAAACAGTCTGTGAGTCTAACTTCAGAGTAAAGTTTATATGACCACAACAAGCTGGCAACATTTTTTTTTTAATGTTTTATAGTTGTAGATGGGCAGAATGCCTTTATTTTACTTACTTTTATGTGGTGTTAAGGATTAAACAGAGTGCCTCACACATGTTAGGCAAGTGCTCTGCCATTGAGCTACAGCCCCAGCCCTGGCAATACTTTTTTGATGACAGGCATCAAGTATTTTTGGGTTAACCAAAAGTTCATTTCTTCAAAGAGATATTATGCCAGCCCTCCACACCCTGGTAATCACTATAGCAGCCAGTGACACAGTTTCATTTAATTCCTAGAATATTTTTTTTTAAGGAAGTTGAAAAAAGTAGAGATTCAGAAAAAAATACCCTCCCCCAGCTATAGACATGAAATACTTTATCTGTCTTTGTTTCCCTTTTTGTGGTATTATAAGATACATATTTAATAGTTTGTTCAACTTATTATAATTTTCCAGTTTCTACTTCTACTTAATACATCAGCTAAGAGAGTAGAAGAGGAGAACGAGAAGGAGGAGGAAGAAAAAGAGGAGGAGAAGGATGAGGAGGAGGTAGAGGAGCAGCAGCAGCAGAAGAAGCAGCAGCAGGAGGATGAGGACGAGGACGAGGACGAGGAGGAAGTTTGCTGCAAAAGTTCTATTCTGGGTGGACAAACCTACCAATAGCAGAGGTCTCTTTCAAGATGGAAGACATTATTACCTAGCAACTATCACTGAATAAAGATAAGAACAGATAAATTTGAAGACCATGATCAAATTTGAGATCTTGGGGATGGGGCTGTGGCTCACTGGTAGAGCGCTCACCTAGCAGGCATGAGACACTGGATTTAATCCTCAGTACCACATAAAAATGAACTATACTGTGTCCACCTACAACTAAAAAATAAATTTTTTTTTTTTTAAATTGGGGCTCTTGGCAAAAACTATGTCCAAATCATTACATTCTATCATAAGAGAAGATAAAGACAGACTTTGAAGTACTTTTCACAAATGTAAGATGTACCCAAGGATTAAATTAATAGTTTTTTGGGAAGAAAAGAAACCATATCATATAAAGTATATCCATAGACAAATTGTAATTTCATTTAAAATGAGATGTGAAAAATTATACTCCTTGGAATTGGTAGTAGAAAATTCTTGGTATTAGAAAAGCTAAATAGAAAATAAAAAATGGAAGAAGTTTAAGACCTACAAGAACCAGGGGGTCAAATTAAAGGTTCACATGGTAAACAACCACTATGATCATGAGTTCTGTGTATAGACATTTGTTAGATAGCATTATGTGGTCAGATAACATCATGAGATTATATCCTCACTAAAAGTCTAGACTCTGGATAGAAGGCATTCTACCCTTGTCCTGTTAATGAAAGTTCTTTGAAGCTGAAAATTAAAATAGAAACTCCAAGTACTAAGAGATCCCAGGTAAGGGACCTCTGTATAAAAGTCAGTGGTTTCCAAAGAGGTTAACTAAGATACAAGAAGAGCTGACTCTCAAGAGAAACCCTTTATACTGAGATTCCAGTCACTACTCATTGATGTCTCCTCCTTAAAGGAACATCTAACAAAGAGATGGCAGATAGATTTCATTTTAAGTGTACAAAAGGACTGATGGTATAAACCTAGAGCAATTTGTTAAACATAATGTTTAGGGTGAATGAGGATCACAGGCAAAGAGTATCATGATTTATCAGCAACTCCTGCTTCAGGTAATAGAGAAGAAAATCAAGTCAGCATGTTGTATATTTGTAGATTCAGGTCAAATTCAATTATGCAAAAGGAAAAGGGTTCCCCATTCTAACTAACTGATCTCTTTTCCTCCCAGGCATAAGTAAGCAATGGTGAAGCAGAGCCAATATACCTGGACAATTTCATGGGGATAACTACCCCCGAAATCACTGTATGCCTCTCTTGAAGAGCAACTCAGGCTGGGCACAGTGGCATGCATCTGTAATCCCAGCAACTCAGGAGGCCGAGGCATGAGGAACAAGTTCAAGACTAGCTTCAGAATGCATTAAGTAATAAATTCATAAAAATTAAAAAAAAAAAAGACTAGCTTCAGCAACTTAGTGAGGCTCTAAGTAACTTAATGAGAACTTACATCAAAATAAAAAAATAAAAGGGGCTGGGAATTTAACTGGTGGTAAAGCACCCCTGGGTTCAATCCCTAGTACCCCCCCGAAAAAGAGAGAGAGAGAGAGAGAGAGAGAGAGAGAGAGAGAGAGAGAGAGAGATCCACAGAAGGCATGTTTGTTTAGGAAAGTGCAAAGAGAGGCCAGAGAGAATAATAGAATAATGTAACTAAAGGGAAATTCAACTCTGAACCTAAGGGCTTAAAGAAATGGAAGCACACCTTCTGTGGAAAAAAAAGTAGGTGGCTCCCCAAAACTCCAAGATTTGTTTCCTGATAGACATGGGAGGACTGAAAATAGAAGCCTAACAGTGGAATGTCAACAGTCTGCTTATTTGAGATGACATGTCCCAAGGATAGTCTCTTGATTCTCTCAGGGGAGAAACACTTGTTCTGTCTCACAGAAGAGTAAAACAAAAAGAACAGTCTCAGTCACAAGAGCTGATCTACTACACTTAGGGCTTTCAGRTGGAAAGAAAAAGAAGAGCTAGTCAGACCCCTGATTATGGAATCTGGGACAGCTCTGATGACTAACAGCAGCACTGTTTATCTGGTGTTTGAAAGGGAGGTAGGTAAAAGGTAGAGACTCAGAAAGAAAGCATTTGCCGGTCTCCAGGCAAACATATCAACCTAGCTAAAATAAAGGACAGAAAAAAGAAACTCCTCTGACAAATACTAGCATCATACCAGGTTACATATTTTCTGAGTTCATTTTTAAACAATACAGGATAAAGATATTGCAATTAATTACAAATAGTAATTAGAACTAATCAGTCAATTGATCCTTCTTTAGATCTCACAAGAAACTGTTTACATCATGTATTTATTTAAAAGACAGATTCATAGTATTTCATGTTGTTGTCCTGAATCTTTCCATATGATGTTATAAACCATCAGAGTAAGCATACATTATCATTATCATTGTGATYATCATTATCATTATCACCGAAGTACTCAGGAATGAACCCAGGGGCACTCTACCACCAAGCTACATTCCCAGTCCTTTTTATTTCTTAATTTAAGATAAGCTTACTAAGTTACATTGGTTGGCCTGGAACTTGTAATTCTCTGGCCTTAGCTGCCAGAGTGACAGGGATTACAGGTGTGCACTACTATAACGTCATATGTTATTTTCATCTGAGGAGCTAGATTTGCTGCTTTCATCAGATCATTTTGCGCCTACTTCTGCCTGAAGTCAATTATACACTTCATTCTTGTTATCAATGGTTAAAATGTGAGCCAACAGTTTAAAAGCATAGCTTATTTGACCACAACCTCAGAACCTGCAGGTTCATAACGTATCAAATAATTTTACCCTGTAAAATTAGCTAAGTATAAAACCTGATCTAAACATAATCTACGATAGGCATGGGGGCACACACCTATAATATATGCTACTCTGGAGGCTGAGGCAGGAGGATCACAAGTTCCAGGCCAACTTCAGTAACCTGTCCAGACCCTTTTTCAAAATAAAAAATATAAAAGGTAGAGTGCCCTAGTTTCAATCTCCAGTACTGCAATCAGTATCAATAATTTATATATCGGCCTTTACCTTCCCCTTTCCAATCTGTCACTTTCATGTTACTTCCATCCTATCCTACAACCAGGATTTCTTTATTGACCCACACTTTGCATTTGGCTATAAAATTTTGTATGAATTCTAATCAAACTTATGATCCTCCTGCCTCAGCCTCCCTCCAGCTGTATTTTTATTTATTTTAAGTATATTTTTTTAGTTGTAGATGGAAACAATATCTTTATTTATTTACTTATATGTGGTTTTATGTGGTGCTGAGATTCAAACTCAGTGCCCCACGCATGCAAGGCAAGTGATCTACCACTGAGCTACAACCCCAGTCCCTCCAGCTATATTTTGAAATGAATAATTCTAAAGATTTTTTAGTACTAAAAAGAGAAATACTTACTCTAAAAGAATATTATTCATATCCTGTGTAAAGAATTTTTTCCTTCCTTCTTCATCAAAAAGTTTGGCAGCCTAGAGAAACATAAGAAAGACTGTCAATATAACTCATAATATACAAGAACTCTGAGATGAACTACCTACTGGGGAGAAAAAAAAAAAAGAAAACAAAAGAAAAAGGAACTTCTTAACAGCRGAGTACACAATACCACATAAATTGTGATCCACAATCAGGTATTGAGAGATCCAAATTCAACTGGATATGTGTATGATTAATAAGTTTGCTACAGCTACTGTAACAAATTATCACAAACTAGGTGACTAAATAGAAATAAACAGTCCAAAGCCCAAAGTCATGTCATTGGGCTGAAATTGAGGGGTGAGCAGGGCTGTGTAGCTCCAAGCCTCTGGAGTGTAGCCCTACTGTCACCTGAATTTCAGTCTCCTGATTTTGGACTTGGGATTAAGAATAATTCTTGGGGCTGGGGATGTGGCTCAAGCAGTAGCGCGCTCGTCTGGCATGCGTGCGGCCCGGGTTCGAGACTCAGCACTACATACAAACAAAGATGCTGTGTCCGACGAAAAATAGAAAATAAACATTAAAAAAAATTCTCTCTCTTTAAAAAAAAAAAAAAAATTCTTTTTTTTTTTTTTTTTTGCACTGAGGATTGAACCCATGGGTGCTTTTGAGACAAGGTCTTGCTAAGTTGCTGAGGCTGGCCTTAAACCTTCAATCTTGTCTCAGTCTTTTGATTCACTGGGATGACAGATGTGTGTCACTGTGCCCAGTTAAATTTCTGGGGTTTTCCTGTGGTGCTGGGGATTGAACCCAGAGCCTTGTGCATGCAAGGCAAGCACTCTACCAATTGAACTATATCTTAGCCCAAACCTCTGTTGTTTTAAGTCACCAAGTTTATGGAGGACAGCTTGCTCCTCATGGTTGCCAGCATTCCTTGGTTGCAGCTATGGCACTCCAATCTTCAAGGACCATATCTCCAATCTCTGTGCTCCGCCCTTAACATGGACTTCTCTAGATATATCACATTTCCTCCTGCTTCCCTCTTAAAGACTTGCATTTAAGGCCCACAGGATAATCTCCCCATCTCTAGACATTTAACTTCATACCTATATCTGCTTTTTACCATAAATGGTTCAAGGGATCAGAATATGGATATCTTTGGGGAATCTTTTTTCAGACTACTACAGATAAAATTCATGTGATTGTTAAGAATATTAAAGAATGAAAGATCAATTTCCTTAAGACAAAAGGTCTTTAGAAACAAAGAAGATATTTAGAAATATTATAGATTATTTCAAAGAAATATCAAGTCTAATCATATGATCAACTCAACAAGAAGCTGCAGACTTTTATGAGCAAACTCATTGAATTCAAGAGACTCTGTGATTCTGCTTTTAAGTTATAGAGTCAATGACAAACTTTTATAAATAGAATACATGGAATTCTATCAAGATTTCTCATTAGAATACAACCAATGATTTAGATCAAATGTGTGGTTAGGAGCATTCGGTATAAAAAAAATTAACCTTATATGGTCAATAAAAGCACTAGTAGAATTGGAATCTCTAAGACAAAGTTAAAAGCTAAACATGCAGTGAATAAATACAGTAATATGGAACTGACAGTGATTGTTGGGGAAAAAATTTAAAAWTTTTTTTTAAAAACCCATTCAAATGATGGTTTGACAAAGGGACATTYAATATTCAAAAAGAAGCAATGTAATAATAAACCAGCACTGCCTATTTTTAGATTCAATGACCATCAGAGGCATAAAAGAGTATCCCAATGCCTCGGGAGGCTAAGCCAGGAGGACTTCATTCAAGGCTAGCCTCAGCAACTTAGCAAGACCCTATCACAAAAAAGAAAAAGGGCTGGAGATTAGCTCAGTGGCAAAGTGTCCCTAGTTTCAATCCCCATACTAAATAAAYAAACAAACAAACAAACAAACAAACATTCTCTTCATGATGTACTTTAAAAAACCTAAAGTTAATAGACTTATTTCCTTTGAATAAAARTRGGTATGAGAAATTTTGATAAAAAGTTAAACTTTATGAATTTCTGATGAAATTTAAACTTTATAACCTTAAAAACATTAATATAATCTAGTTTTAGAAAATTAGATAGTCATCTGGTAGTCGAAATGTGTAAAAACTGTCATGAATCAGTACTTACTGGCCGCTGGGCCTGGCTCTGGCACTAGTGTTTATTAAAGTGATTTCACAACCTACTGATGCTTTAAACTGTGGGTTTAGACATATTTGTTTCTATTTCTACTTATTAAAGAATAAACTTTTTGAGGGTGCGGCTAGTTATTTATCTTTGTATCCTCACACTCTATTATATACTTTATAATTATTACCATGTTTAGTCCTCATAACAGCCAAGGAATCTGGTTTTATAATCCCCATCTTACACACAAAGACCTTAAACCWTAAAAGAGGTTTCATGAAATGGCCAAGTTACTAAGTTGTGGGTCAAAGATTCGAACTGAAGCCTTCTGATGTCAACTGTGAACACTGCCACCTAGCACATAAAGACATTGGTTTGGAAAAGCCAGTCTGGGTTTTACTTAATTAACAACAATGAAAAAACTAGTCAAGATTATTATCAAGGAATAAGCTCTTGCATTTCATCAAGCTTCCCATTTTAACCAGACAAAATGTTTTTTAAATCTGGACACTCTGTCATTTTGTGGCAAAATTTCCTGAGGAAATTAGACATAGGTCATCTTAAAATCCAAAAGATATAAAACATTAAAAGAGAACAATTCAATAACTTGATCAAACCATATGGTGACTGTCAATTTATCAAATTATTTGAAAATTTTACATGCTATAAGTAGAAGAGATAAGTTTTGGAGACATGCTTCTTAAGACAGGATGAAGACTAGATGTATACAGAGGCAAAAATATAGAAAGAAAGTCAGAATAAAAGCCAAATTTCGGGCTGGGGTTGTGGCTCGAGCGGTAGCGCGCTCGCCTGGCATGCGTGCGACCCGGGTTCGATCCTCAGCACCACATACCAACAAAGATGTTGTGTCCGCCGAGAACTAAAAAATAAATATTAAAAAATTTCTCTCTGTCTCTCTCCTCTCTCACTCTCTCTTTAAAAAAAAAAAAAAAAAAGCCAAATTTCAAGAAAGGAAATCAAAGTCAAGAGGTTGAACTTGGAAGAATATTACAAAGGGAGAATAGTACAAGAACAAACTGTTTATCAGACAGAGGCATGTGAGCTGAAGATGAATTTTCATCTCTTGAAGAAAAGTACCATTTCATGTTTAAAAAAAAACAGAGAATTCACAGGTATCACTAAGTAAAATGAATCTTATTTATTGATAATTTCCTAATGAGGGCTTAGGAAGAAGCCATGTTAACCTTCAAATGGCTATTACAAGACAGATATTTTTTKCTTAAAAGATATGACAGAGCCTTACAAAGTTGGACATACTCATCACTAACTAATTAGTTTCTGAAGTGAGATAAGTAGCGCATAACCCAGTAGGCAACATGTAAGCACAAAGTGTAATGGTCCTGGCTTTAAAACCTAATTTTGAATTTTGGCTTGGCCATTTCAAAATTGTGTCCTTGGACAAATTACTTAACCATCTTGATTGAACCTTAGTTTCCTCATCTATTAAATGGAAAAACACTTCATTTGCTCACATGTTTCTTGGGAGGACTGTATTCAGCAATAAGTAAAATAAGGCAATAGGGGCACAGCTGTACCATACTCAGTACATAGCATCGAATTTTACTAAATAAACAGTAGCTATTATTTATTTATTTTTGCAATACTGGGGACTGAACYGARGGACACTGAGCTACATTCTCTGCCCTTTTATTTTTTTATGTTGAGACAGGGTCTCACTAAATTGCCCAGGCTGGCCTAGAACTTACAATTCTCCTGCCTTAGCCTCACAAGTTCCTGGGTTATAAGCAAGTGCCACCACGCACAGTTCAGAAGCTATTATTAATAATTACATCTTGAAAAMCCTGTATCACATCACTAGCACTTTTAAAAACCTAGAAAAAAATGAAGAATTCAGGAATGGGGAAATAGGGAGAAAAGAAAGCATGTACTTTGGAGTCAGGCAAATCCCACTGCTTAAAAACTCTGGCTCTAACACTTACAAATTCTATTACTTTGACCACATTTTTTGATCTATCTCCACTTACATTTCTTAAAAGGGAAACAGACACTACATACTACACTTCATAGAAACATTGAAAAGATTAAAGGAAAAACCCTAAGATTAGGTCAACGAGCAAATTTTTTTAAAGAGCTAAAATAAAGTAACTCAAAAAGGCTGAAAGCAACCAATGAGAAAAGCTATACCATGCACAAAYAAACAGAGGTCTACAGTAAAATCATACAAAATTAAATTGAAGGTAAAAAGCATTAATTGGACCAAAAGGGTAGCCTTCTAATGATAATCACTGCACTAAAGATGCAGCCATCATAATCTTACGAATGAAACAGCAAAAGCAATAGCAAACTCAAGTTACAACTAAAAGAAGTATTGGCAATGAGATATTTTAACATATTTCCTCTGAATCCTGGACTCAAGATGGGGTATAAAACAAGTAAAAAATAGAGAGGAAGCAATTAGTAAGTCATTACCTTAGAAGAAACAATATAGAAAAATAATAGAATTGATTAATAAAATCCAAGAGCCAGTTGTAGGAAAAATTAGGTAAATCTCTTGCTTCCCTCAGATATTTCTTGAGTTGTAAATATATATTTAGAAAGAGAGAAATAAATGGAGAAATGGAGAATGGAGAAATCCTAGCAGGAAAAAGAAGGGTATAAAATAGTTTAAATATTACAATCCCATTAATGATAATTTTTAGCAATAACATATTTGAGGATGTATAGACTAAAATACAGAAAAATAGCTGTTTTATAATGATTATTTCTGCTCGGGGTAGGAAACGTAAGATAATGAGGATCTTAAGAATGTAATAAAGGGGCTGGGGATGTGGCTCAAGCGGCAGCACGCTCGCCTGGCATGCGTGCGGCCCGGGTTGGATCCTCAGCACCACATACCAACAAAGATGTTGTGTCCGCCGAGAACTAAAAAAAAAAAAAAATGTAATAAAAAAAAAATTCTGCAATGACTAAATTATGGCATAGGTTCAACAAATAAACATGTCAAAATAATCAGAAAGCATTTTAAGCTAGATTTGGCACATTTTTAATATAAAAAATATTATCTCTCTTTGTAAGATATAACTGGATTTGCAGCTAATTAAACCAATGAAGATTATGAATCCAAGCTGATGTGGAGAGGAATCTATGATGACAGGCCAGTCTCAGCTCTTAGCTTTTTCTTTGGTACCAGGGAATGAACCCAGGGATCCTTAACCACTGAACCACATTCCCAGGCCTTTTTATTTTTTTCTTGAGGCTAAGTTGTTAAGGCTGGCTTTGAACTTGCGATCCTCCTGTCTCAGCCTTCCAAATTGCTAGGATTATAGGCAGGTGCTAAAGTACCTGGCTAAGCTCTTAGCTTGGTCTTACTGGGAACACAAGGCATGTATCCTACTGATTAGCTGGGAAAATAGGTTATAAAAACTGGATGTCAATCAACATAGACCAAAGAAAGAAGTTCAGGTACATTTCTGCAGTGTTTTTCTTTCTTTCTTTCTTTGGTCTATTTTTTGGRGGGAAGGAGGGGGTGTTGAGGATTTAAACCAGGGGCAATTTACCACTGATGTACATCCTCCACCCTTTTACTTTTTGAGATAGGATCTCACTAAGTTGGTCAGGACCTCACTAAGTTGTTGAGGCTGGCCTTGAACTTGTGATCCTCCTGTCTCAGCCTCCAGAGYTGCTGTGATTACAGGTGTGTGCCACTACACCTGGATGCCCTATTTTCTTTACATGACTATGAAGATAATAAAAAATCATAAAATCTATATGAAAAAATATTTATAAGGTGGCTGGGCACGATGGTGCACGCCTGTAATCCTAGCAGCTAGGGAGGCTAAGGCAGAAGGATCGTGAGTTCAAAGTCAGCCTCAATAAAAGTGAGGTACTAAGCAACTCAGTGAGACCCTGACTCTAAATAAATTACAAAATAAGGCTGGGGATGTGGACTCAGTGGTCAAGTGTCCCTAAGTTCAAWCTCCAGTACCCCCAGGCAAAAGTTTGTAAGGTGAACTGAAATAATAAAAGAATCACCTATTCCCATGTTGTAACTATAATTATTTCAATTTAAGAAAAAAAGCTTATGTGGAGAACCAATGTCTAAAAGGGAATATGGAAAATTAAAAGTTGTTGCTAGGGCTGGGGTTGTAGCGCAATGGTAGAGTGCTCGCCTAGCATGTAGAAGGCTTTGGATTCGATCCTCAGCACCACTTAAAAATAAAATAAAGGGGGCTGGGGATGYGGCTCAAGCGGTAGTGCGCTCGCCTGGCRTGTGTGCGGCCTGGGTTCGATCCTCAGCACCACATACAAATAAACATGCTGTGTCCGCCAAAAACTAAAAAATAAATATTAAAAATTCTCTCTCTCTCAAAAAATAAAGTAAAATAAAATAAAGGTATTATGTCCATCTACAACTAAAAAAATATTAAAAAGTTGTTGCTACAGAGTATTGGGATTACAGGGAATAATTTTTGTCTTTAAAAATGAAGCTTTTATTACTATGTCTGTGCAGCAAATAAAAACCAAGAGAATTATTACACTTACTACACGGAGGTCCTCGATGCGTTTTTCAAGAAGTACAGGTAGACCTTCTGGGAGTGTAGGTACCACCTTAGGCATAACCTGAGAGGTGAAGGTTGGCTGGGTGGTGTTTCCATTTTCTCCCCCTGATTCAGATAGGGGGCTGCCATCAGAAGCAGCATCCAGTAATCTGTCAAAGTCGAAATCATCCAGTATCTCTAGGGCATTTTCAGCTTCCTGAAACAATTCGTGTTCATTTGTGCTAACAAAAATGGGGAGCTCTGGATCAGTGCTGTTCAGATTTAATTCTGGGACGTCATTCCCCAATCCTGTAGCAGCACAAAGAGGCTTGGTAAGAGAGGAGGTYGATAAGGTCACAGGAACTTTGGGGTTAGACTCTGTTTTTAATGCATCCTTCTCTTTCTGAAATTTTCGAATCATGGCAGCTAGAGAAAGAGAATCTTTATATCGTTTCTTCTTTTTTTCAGACTTGTGTGAATTTAGAGCCACAACTCTGTGAAGAAAAAAGCGAACAGTGAGGCTACATATAACTTTAACTATCTTCTGATCATTTTTCATTTTCCACTCTAGGAATAGCCATGTTGGCAACCAGATATGGATATGTGTAATTCTCAATGATAACCTCCTTACATGAACCATAGGGAAAGGTCTCAATTTAGCTATCGATTCCTCTAGAAATCTTTTCCAAATCCCWTGGCTTAGATGTTTCTACATGTGCTACAAAATCTAAAAGACTATTAGTACTTGAAGGGAGGTCAATGTTTCATTTGTTATACACCCCAAACCTACAACAGTCCTAGTGTAGAAGAAAAAATATTTACTTAATAAATTTATAATTTGAAAAAAATTCAATAAAAGGTATTACTTATAGCTTATGTTTCACAAGAGGTTTACTTGTAAATAATGAATATTTAAGATAACCATTAGTGGGCTAGGGTTGTAGCTCAGTGGTACACCTAGCACATGTGAGGCACTGAGTTTGATCCTCAGAACCACATAAAAATAAATAAAATAAAGATATTGTGTCTACCTAAAACTTAAAAAAAAAAGTTAAAAAGAAACCTTTAAAGATAATCATTATTAATGCACCCAATTTTTCTCCCCCTAATCTCTTAATGACTCTAGGTCATGATTACAACAGTAATCCCATGTTTAGGAGAGGAGAAATACCTCCCTAAATCAATCTTTTGGATATAGACAGCCTCGGATGCAGATATTCCTCCCTGCTAAGGAGGGACAGAAAACCCAGATTTTCATAAGTTTTTCCCTTAGATCTGTGAAAAATGCTACTGAGAAGTAGAGACAATGCCAATTTTTAATTATATCATACAAATATTTTATTCTTCAGATGTAAGATTCATTTTAGGTATTAAGGATTGAACCCAGGGGTGTTCTAATACTGAGCTACATTCTCAGATCCTCAGCCCTTTTCATTTTTTAATTTTGAAACAGGGACTAAATTGCCCTGGTTGCTCTCAAAATTTCAACCTTCCTGCCTCAGCCTCAGGAGTTGCTAAGATTATAGGTATGTGCCACCAGTCCAGCTGACTTAAGGCTTTTGAAAAATTCTATTTGTTTTTTAGCAGCAATATGTCACCTAAAGTCATAAGCATTAAGAATAGCTAAATAGGGCTGGGGATATAGCTCGGTGTTAGATTTCTTGGTTAGCATGWRTGAGGCTCTGGGTTCGATCGCTAGTACTGTCAAGGGTGTGGTGGATGGAATCAATGACATTTTTTCCCCCCTTTTCTTCCTCTTCTTTTTTTTGTGGTGCTGGGGATTAAACCCAGAGCCTCCCACATGCTAGGCAAGTGATCTACCACTAAGTTATATCCACAGTCCGTGATTTGTTTTTTTAAATATTAAAACAACTATAAATTGTTCATATATAGGCTACTGCTAATCCTTAATCCCAGACATCAACATTTAGTGTTAGTACCAAAAGATTAAAAAAAGTGGGCTGGGAAAATAGTTCAGTTGGTAGACTGCTTGCCTCACATGGGCAAGTCCCTGGGTTCAATCCCCAGTACCATAAAAAAAAAAAAAAAAAAAGTTATTTGAGGGCTGAGGTTGTGGCTCAGTGGTAGAGTGCTTGCCTAGCATGTGTGAGGCACTGGGTTTGATTCTCAGCACTACATTAAACAAACAAACAAACAAATAAAATAAAAGTATTGTGTCCATCTACAACTAAAAAATTTTAAAAGAAAGTAATTGGATCTTTATGCCATCTTTTAAAACTAGCTCTTGCTGGTTAAACAAACAAAAACTGTAATGAGCAAAATGCTCAATGTACTACTCTAAAAATCTGATCTTAAACATCATGAGTCTCATAGATGACAATGCCTTCCAGTTATTAATGTATAACAAAATATTATTAAAACATAACTAAATTACTACTATTTATAAATATTAAATTAGACTTAGCTACTCTTAATTAGTGGTGAACCTTCATTAATTTATTTATTCTAAAAGGAGAAACAGACTATGACAGTAGTTCTCTTATTGGGTTCCACTTACCCCAGTTGTTTAGGTACTTTTTTCCTTGGTTTCTTCTCCTTTTCCCCTTCCTCTTTCCGTTTCCGCTTCTTCATTTCGATATCATCTTCTTTTATTTTGGGAACCTGCAAAAATGATAAAATAATACAGCATTTGTTTATTTATTTTAAAATTTATTTTAAGAATGCATCATTTATTTAAATATCAATGCTCTCTTTTTTTGATGTGAGCAGTGGTTTTTCTCAAGTGTCAAAATGTAATAGCATTACTTGCTTCAAGTGCACGTTCTTGGGGTCCATAAACACTTTCAGTTCTCTAGAATAGGGCGTTCAAATATGAATTTTTGACATGCATTTTGGTGATTCTGGTACAAGTAAGTCTTTGGCCCTCATGTCAGCAAACATTTACCTATGTACATTATTCATTTCCCAAATGCAGTATATCCAATTCTACAGAATTTGTTAATTAGATCTCAAGAAAGATAACAGTTATCAACAGTCATTTCTTTTTTTTTTTTAATATTTCTTTTTTTTTAGTTTTAGGTGGACAAAATATCTTTATTTTATTTTTATATGGTGCTGAGGATTGAACCCAGTGCCTCACACATGCCAGGTGAGTGCGATACCACTTGAGCCACATCCTGAGCCCTACCAACAGTCATTTCTATAGCAAGTCGTCTTCTTTTTTTTTTTTAGTCATTGATGGACCTTTATTTATTAATATGTGGTGCTGAGAATTGAACTCAGTGCTTCACACATGCTAAGCAAGCGCTTTGCCACTGAGCCACAACCCCAGCCCAGCAAGTCTTAACCTATCCTAGAAATTTAACTTTATCCCCAAAACAGCAGACAATTAAACCACATCATAGAGAGTAAAAGAAAACAATTCTGTGATATAAATACCAATTTTCCCAAATCCACATACTTTTATTTTAAAGCATGCATTAAGTATATAATCATTGAGCTATGGTTAGTATTTTACTTCTCCTTATATTCACAACTGTGGACCATGTTAAGATTCAAAAGGTATATCCTATTAATTTAACATTCTCTTTAGCATTGCAGTGTTGGGGAAACTCACCTTGGGTGGCTTGTGCTTTTGGTTGTCTGTGATATCTTCTTCTTCAGTATCTGAAGCTTGGCGAAACTGCAGAGTGCCAGTGTTGATATAAAAGCCTCCATACTTTGTTGTTAAAGAAGCAGGAACTAATTCATCATACTAGATTAAAAGGAAAAACTTTAAGATATCTTATTGTCTATAACTCTAAATGTCAAAGAAATTCATTCATCATGGAAACATTTTCCTTAAAAACCAACTGCAAAACTGACTGCAAACCTAGTAATCCCACTGCTGGGTACGTGCCAAGGGCATCATGCTTAATTTAAAAGAAACGAAATGAATGGGGGAGAGGAGAAGTTAGGATAGCAATTAGGATGTCTGCATTCTTGTGGTTCAATGTAGCATTATTCACAACAGCCAAGATACAAAATAATCTGAGCGTCTGTTAATAAATGAATAGATTTTTAAAATGTGGTCTATTAATACAGTGGAATACTATTTAGCCTTAAAAAACAGGAAATTCTGTCATTTGCRACAACATGGATCAACCTAGAAAAATACCATATAATCTCCCTTACATGTGCAATCTAAATAAACTAAACTTAGAGACGTAGGRTAGAATGGTAGACAGATGCTCAGGGGGAGTAGCAGAAGAGGAAACGAGAGGTGCTGGTCAACAAGTTCAAAATTATAGGTAGACAGGAAGAATATGAACTGGTATTCTATTGCACTGTAGGRTGATTATAGTTAATAATAATGTATATTTCAAAATAACAAGAGAGGAGTTTTCAATGTTCTCACCAAAACAAATGATGTTTGAGGTGACAGATATGACATTGATCATCGCAAAATGTACATGTCAAAACATTATGTTGTACCCCCCTGAAAATGTGCAATTATAATTTATCAATTAAAGAAAAAGAAAAAAGGACTGCAATGAGGAAGTTCATAGAATAAATTTAGAAAAAGTTCATTATCTGGAATAAAAGTCAGTTCTAATCATTTGGTATATTTAACAAAGGATATTACCTGATGAGAAAAAGTTAAGGATCACTACCACTATTTCTTTCTTCATTCTCACTGCTACTATTCTTAATATCAATTTTTAATACCTCATTTTATTTATTTTTATTTATTTGTATGTAGTGCTGAGGACTGAACTCAGTGCTTCACACATGCTAGGCAAGCACTCTACCACTGAGCCACAAAGCCAGCCTGGTTTCAAAAGTTTTTGATGAGAAGTTTAAACACAGTAAAACAGATGGCTGAATGACCATAAGAAGAGATTATAATCATACAATTATTCTGTCTTGGTGAGATATTATACATATATATACATACATATATATATATATATTTTTTTTTTTTTTTTTTGGTGGGGGGTGGTACCAGGGATTGAACTCAGGGGCACGTGACTACTGAGCCACATATCCCCAGCTCTATTTTGTATTTTATTTGAGACAGGGACTCACTGAGTTGCTTAGCACATTGCTGTTGCTGAGAATGGCTTTGAACACACAATATTCCTGCCTCAGCTTCCCAGGCCTCTGGGATTACAGGTGTGCGCCATTGTGCCTAACCCTTCATTCCTTTTTCAATTTGGCAGCCTAAATGTGAAATTATTTTTAATGCTTCAAAGCATTTATTTTCAGATATTTTTAGTAATAAGCACATGATTCTAAAAATTAATTAGAACCAGATTATTTTCATTTTTTATAAAATAATTTGCAAATGTGGAAAGTTTACTGAGAACACAACAAGGAATCATTTAATTAGATTACAATTGTTTGATGCCTGGATTATCTCATAAACAGAACAAAATAATTTGTTAAGGGCAATGATAGTAAATTAGTTTGGAAGTCAACTTGTATAATAGTTTGATTTCCTCTTATAAAATAAGGACCTATATTGTCTTATAAATGTCAGTAACCAACTATATAACTCAACAACTCTATCTACAAAATTATCTTTTTTTTTTCCAAAAATTATCTTTTTTAGAGCAGTAACTTTCAAATTTTCTTCCCCATAACACAAGTGGAAAATCCACTGCACATCAAAACCAAGTATATGGGCTTGGGGTGGTAGCTCAGTGGAAGAGCACTAACCTAGCACATGTGAGGCACTGGGTTCAATCCTCAGCACCACATAAAAATAAATAATCAGCATACTACAGTGACACAGTCATATCAATGTTTATAGCAGCTCAATTCACAACAGCCACACTATGGAACCAACCTAGATGCCCTTCAACAGATGAATAGTTAAAGAAAATGTGGTATATATACACAATGGAATATTACTCAGCCTTAAAGAAGAATGAAACTACGGCATTTGCCACTAAATGGATGGAGCTGGAGAATATTATGCTAAGCGAAATAAGCCAATTCCAAACAACAAAGGCTGAATATTTTTTCTGATATGCAGATGCTAATTCACAATAAGCGGGGGGCTAGGGTAAAATAGAGGTACTTTGGATTAGGCAGAGAAAAGTGAAGGGAGGGGAGGGGGTTTGGGGGTARGGAGGATAGTAGAATAAATTGGACATTATTACCCTTTAAGGTAATAATTACTTCTTTAAGGCTGAGTAATATTCCATTGTGTATATATACCACATTTTCTTTATCCACTCATCTGTTGAAGGGMATGTAGGTTGGTTCCATAGTACATATATGAATACTTGAGTGGTGTGATTCTACATCATATACAACCAGGAGAATGAGAAGTTATACTCCAKTTATGTATGTTGTATCAAGATGCATTCTACTGTCATGTATAATTAATTAGAACAAATAAAAAGGTAAATAAATAAAATGAAGGTATTGTGTACATCTACAACTAAAAAAATTCTAAAAACAAGCGTATACATACATAATAAAATTATGTGATCTTCAATAACTCCTAATCTATTTGATGTCATATTCTTTAAAAATACTAGTCATACCCTTTATTTTTTATTTTTTTTTAAATATTTATTCTTAAGTTTTAGATGGACACAATGTCTTTATTTTACATTTATGTGGTGCTGAGGATCGAACCCAGTGCCTCATGCATGCTAGGTGAGCACTCTACCACTGAGCCACAACCCCAGCCCCAAGTCATACCCTTTAAATAGACATATAAGCCAATTATGGCTTGAAAAAGTCAGTTTGTATTTAAAAATACTCTAAATGCTACTGCTGAGGGCCATTGCCAAGTAGGAATGACGCATCGAAATTTCCTTGCCAGCGTACCCCATGTTAAATGGACTTGCCTTGGAAATTCGCTGTGACATTGCATGTGTGTTTGAGAAAGGTGACCCTGCTCAAGGACCAGGGTGGATCCAGGTTTAGGGTGTATCCTGCAGGTTTTAGGAAGTATCCCGCTCCTTGGGTTTAAGGTGTTCCCGGTTTAAGACCAGTGTAGGGCGTTCCCCGTTTAAGACAATCTGGGTTTAGGGAAGTTCCAGGTTTAAGGTTATTGCTGCTGGGAATAGGGCATATCCTGCTGCCTGAGTTCCCGTTGAGTTCTTGTGGAATTGAGAAAGTTTTGGGGACGTGAATTGTGCAGCAGAACTTGGATTTCCCCAGAACGTGTTTGTACAGGGCCGGTGTGAGTTCGGGAATAAAGAATTGCTGTTTGAATCTACAAAGCTGTGAGTGGCTCGTGATCTTGTGCCCAGCCAGACTGYGGCATGCTACAAAGGAGTTAGGGATATAACTCAGTTGGTAGAGTGCTTGCCTCGCATGTACACGGCCCTGGGTTCAATCCCTAGCGCGTGCGCACACACCCACAAAGTCTAAATGCTATAAAAGAAGTTATTAATTAAAATTATTTATAAAAGTCTACATACTATAGATTTCAACTGTAAGGAAAAGTCAAAACTGTGCAGACAGTTATATGGCTGTCACAGGCTAGGAGAGAAGGGAGGGATAAATGAGCAGAGCATAGAGGATTTTTAGGGAAGTATCACTACTGTAATACTATACTATATACTATAATACTATAATGGTGGATACATGTCATTATACATTTGTTCAAACTCAAAGAATGTACATCTGGTGGGAACATTGATGTGAACTATGAACTTTGGTGATACTKGTGGATCAATGTAGGTTCCTCAATTGCAACAAATGAATGATTATGATATAGAATATTGATAATAGGGGAGGTTGTGTGCCTTGGGGCAAGGTGTACATGGATGCTCTCTGTACTTTCTGCTTACGTTTTCTGTGAATCTAAAACTGCAGTAGAACATAAAGTTTATTACCTTTTTTTAAAGCTATTTATGTAAGCATGCATAAATGTTTACCCATGAGTTCCTTTTTGGATTATTCAGATTTTGAAATCTGATATAATGTTAACATTATTGCTAATGCCTTGTACTTGCTTTATGCTTCAGCATGTTTATATTCATTGCCTTATTTGGGCCTCAGAATAATTCTGAGCAAGTAATGGTAGAGAAAACCAAGTGATGCTATAAAGCCTGCTCCTGGTTACATGGTGACTTAGAAACTGATGTAGAACTAGATTCTAGGACTTCTACCTTGAGTTCCAAATCACAGTCAAGACTCTTGAAACATTCCATAACCACACTGGCTGTTAACCTTTTTGATTGTGGAAAGGTATCCCTATCTCATGTAACTCTATATCATGTACAACCAGATCAATGAGAAGTTATACCCTATTTATGTATGATGTATCAAAATGCATTCTACTGTCATATATAACTAATTAGTACAATAAAAATATATTTAAAAAGAAAAAGGTATCCCTACTCCAAAGGGCCCTATTGATACGTCATAGTTAGTTAGGACACAAAAAAAAWTTTTAAAGTATGACAGGATATTCCATATGCATCATGCTGGATGACCTTCCTATCATATCACTCTCTTGCCTGTATATGCTTTTTCATCAACTAACTATACAAGAAAGCACTGTAACCACAGGCAAAAGACATGCTAAATTGTGAGTAGTGTAAAAGTTAAATAGTGTCATTCTGCACACTCTAAGTAATCACTGTACACTGTATAGATATTATAATCCCAGGGATTAGATTAGTCTACTAATGGACAATAATAGAAGAACATACTCCCTAAGGCAAAATAGGAACACCCTCATTCATATGCTACATGATCAAGAGATTACTACYATCCTTATGAAATCCTGCTTCCTCTTAGAAGAGAAAGAATTTCAGGAGAAAAGCTATAGGATTCGATCAAAACAGACTGATATTAGAGGCTGAAACCACTGTGATAGTAAGGCATACTGCAATTTTAAAATTAAGAGTATTTTATAGATGTCTGCCAAATCAAGTTCAATCCAGTGGCACCAATATTGCTTTGTCTCATCTTCAAAATCATTTCAAAATATACCTGCCCAAAGTAAGGGAATATTAAAAAAAAAAAAAAAAAAAAGAATTCAAGATGAAAATACCATTTGACCTATAAATTCCATTGCTTAGAAATTTAGCCTACCCATATATTTGTACTCTATAAATACACTGCATATACATTTACTTAAGTAGATAAATGCATACAATACGCTCAACTATTTGTAAACATATAACACCAGAAACAATTTAATGCACATCAACTAGAATTGGTTAAATAAATTACGCAATTTAGGTATGTCCCCAACAACCATTAAAAGGAATGTATCTCRATCCTAATATGTTTTCTAGTTTATAACTATCTTGTGTTTTTTTTAATCATAACATAATAGTAATCAATTGATGGTAATCAATATACCAATATACTATATATTCATTTTATTAAAACCAAAAACATAACAAAAAAATACAACACCAAAAAGCCTTACCTCCAGAAATTCTAATTAAGTCTGAGTTAAGACAAGAATCCCCAGATTTTTACCCCTGATTAAGAACCATTCRTTTAACATAAAGTTTTCAGTACTAAACCATTAATTTAATGTAATAGCTTTTCATTTTCCTTTTTTTGCTTTTGCCCTCATTTTCCCTTTTCTTAAACTTATTTTCATTCTTAGTTTGGGAAAGAGAGGAAGACAGAATCATTGCTAATACACATCTGGAAACAAGCATCTACTAAAGAATCGTGATTCTCGAAGGACCTAAGAACAAGCACAGCTTATGAAAAACAACAATCTAGTACAACGTCAACAAACCATGATTGCCCACCAAATCCAGCTGCCAAGAAAAAGGATTTCATGTTTTTTAAATGGTTGAGAAAAAAATTACAAGATTCTGTGACACATGAAAATTACACAAATTTAAGTGCTGGGGTGTAAACTCAAGTGTGAGAGCACTTGCCTGGCATATGTGAGGTCCTGGGTTTGAGCCCTAGCCTGAGAGACAGAGAGAGAAAGAGACAGACAGACAGACAGACACAAGAGAGAGAGAGAGAGAGAGAGAGAGAGAGAGAGAGAGAGAAAGAAAATAAATTTTAAAAGAATTTGAGGGACTGGGGTTGTGGCTCAGTGGGTGAGGCACTGGGTTTGATACTCAGCACCACATAAAAATAAATAAATAAATATAAAGGCATTGTGACCACCTACAACTAAAAAAATTTAAAAAAGAATTTGAATATCAGAGTTCATCAAAAACACCTCATTATAAATGCCATATTTATTTGCTTAAATATTGTCTGTGGCTGCTCTCACACTATAATGGCAGAATAGCTGTGACAGTACCATATGGCCCACAGAGTCTAAAATATTTACCATGTGGCCCTTTAAAGAAAAAGATGTTTGCCAAAACCTGGTCTAGTATAGTAGTGTAATGACCCACTGTGAGCCAACCCAACATTACAAAATTTTAAGTCTTCAGTATGCCTTAAAAATTTTTTAAAAATCTTTAGGGGCTGGGGATGTGGCTCAAGCAGTAGCACTCTCGCCTGGCATGCGTGCAGCCTGGGTTCGATCCTCTGCACCASATACAAACAAAGATGTTGTGTCCGCTGAAAACTGAAAAATAAATATTAAAAATTTTAAAAAAATCTTTAAGCAGTAAATATGGCTTTAAAAAGCACAAACAAGGGCTCAGGTTGTGGCTCATGGCAGAATGCTTGCCTTTCACATGTGAGGCACTGGGTTCGATTCAGCAGCACATAAAAAATGTATAAACAAAATAAAAATACTGTGTCCATATATAACTTAAAAAAAGCATAAACGAACACATTCATTGAACAAGTTAAGTTACCCTTGACTTCTACTATTCCAATAAATTTGCTGCTATATTAAAGACATGTTACTCACAGCCTCTGAATTATCAATAAATGGATCTGTCTCATCATAGCCAAAGCCTATGTCAATTAAATCTTGTAGCCGATCCTTCCGGTGCTTACGGGGTTTCCCACCCTGCAAAAAACAGACACATTAGACTGATTCAGTACTCATGCTGTTTCCATAAAGTTTAAAAAGACCTATTCAAAGAATTCAAATAATTTTTGTAAATAAATCCCTGCAGATGGTTAAGTCTTCCCATATCTTATATAAGCAGCTGTACTTAGTGACTTGCCTTCACAGCTCAGAGTGAGAAAAGAGGAACAAAGTAACTTTACAATGGAAAATCTGCCTAACTTTACATCAGCCAGATGACATCAACAGGAACAATGATAAGTGGATGGCACATATCCCTGATATATGATTAAAAACTGCACTTCCCTTCTGTGGGTCTTCCTCTCAACTCCTATAAAACTAGCCCAGCCATGAGAAAAACATCAAACAGACCAAATTGATAGTCTATAAAATAAGTTCTCCAAAGCTGTTAAGATTATCAAAAAAAAAGGAAAAATCTGAAAAAACTGTCATAGTCCACACCAGCCTAAAGACACTAAGACTAAATGAGCTGTGGTATCATGGATAGGATCTAGGAACTGAAAAAGTACATTAGGGAAAACTAGTAAAATCCAAATAAAGTTTAGAGTTTAATGGTAATATAACAATGTTGGTTCCTTCATTATAACAAACATATTACATGAATGTAAAATATTCATGTTAGTGGGTGAGGACTATATGAAAACTCTTTGTATTATCTTGTTTAACTTTTACCTTTTTGGAACTTGGAATTAAACCTGGGGAAACTGAGCGACATCTCCAGCCCTTTTTTTTTGAGACAATGTCTCACCAAGTTGCAGAGACTGGACTACAGGTTGAGATCCTTCTGCTTCAGCCTCCCAGATTATTGGGATTATGAAAGTATGTACTGCTATGCCCAGTTCTAAATTGTAGCTTTTCTGTAATTTAAAAACTATTCTTAAAATTATTTTTTAAATGTCATATAATCATACACATAAACACAAGAAAATGATAAATGAGTGCCTACAAAAACTGATGAAATGAGCTGGGCATGGAGGTTTATGCCTGTAATCCCAGTGGCTCAAGAGGCTGAGGCAAGAGGATCACAAGTTCAAAGACAGCCTCAGCAACTTAGCAAGACTCTGTCTTAAAATAAGAGTTAGGGATATGGCCCAGTGGTAAAGTACCACTGGTACCAAAAACAAAACAAAACAACAACAAAAAAMCCACATGGTATCAAAAACTGGTGAATCAGAATAATGTCTGTGGTCTGGTTAGTTGTATTGTGCCATGTTTATTTCCTAGTTTTGTAACTGCAGTTATATAAAATATTACCACTGGCAGAAGTTGGGTGGTAGGCATATGGTCTTTTTAACTATAGTTGCAACTTCTTATTAGTCCATAATCCTTTTTTAAATAATCATTTTTAAAAACTAACACAATGTCAAAACAAACTAGTTCCTGTAGATTCCACTATTCAGATGATACTWTATGGAGCCTTTTGACTAATCTCAGTATAAAGAAAAACTCACTTACGTTTGTGTGCACACATACACACACACACATTTTTATGTTAAAATAAATGAGTTAGGAATGTGGTTCAGTGGTAAATCTACCATAGCTCAATGACAGATGGGCCAGAACCATTAAAAAAAAAAAAAGTGTGTGTGTGTGTGTGTGTATATGCGTGTGTGTCTGTGTATGTGTGCACACAAACATACTTGCTTAGCCTATAAGTTTATTTTGGATTTTTAAATTTTAATTTTTACTCACTCATATTCAATTACTCATTCTAAGCATCCTTCTAATGTCTCCCTACCCCATTTCTTTCAGACTGGGTCAGGGGTGAAGAAGAGGCTCAGAAAGGTGAGGTAAGGGGTAGGGAAGATAGAAGACAGCACTCAGGATTTTGCCTACCAAAATGCTACCACTGAGCCACAGCAGGCCTTGTGGAAAGCAAGAGATTTAAGATGTGAACTTCTAGAGCCGGGGTTGGAGCTCAGTGGTACAGCACTTGCCTAGCAAACGTGAGGCACTGGGTTTGATCCCCAGCATCAAATAAAAAACAAATAAATAAGTAAAAATAAAATAAAGGTATTGTGTCCATCTACAACTAAAAAAGTATTTAAAAAGAAAGATGTGAACTTCTATGACCTCATTTCATTTCAGTCCTCACAGTGAATATGTGATTCTAAAAGTTAAAGAGGGACACTTTTATGCCACATGGCCCTTAAATAAAAGTTGTTTGCTTCCATGTAAAGAAATTGTGATCTGTTCCAGTGCTTGAGAGGAAAAATGGTGATACTAGACTTACTGAGAGATATCACCAACAGGGTGTGATCCCATTCTACATGATTTGCAAAGATAATTCTGAACAAATGCTATGTTTGCATTCCACATAGTTGTTGAAAACCTTACCCCAACATGAGCTATGGCTCCACGGTTTGCTTCTAAGTGGACAAAATACTATTACACTACCATCACTACCAAGAAATCCCTTATGGTGTGAGGTGAAGTGGTGGATTCCTTATTTATTATTATTTTAATAACAGGTTCTCACTAAGTTGCCCAGGCTGGCCTTGAACTCATTATCTCAAGCAATCCTCTAGACTAGCCTCTTTAGTAGCTAGAATTAAAGGTACATACACTTTGGTTCCCATATTTTAAAATTTTACAATTTAGGTAAGTTTCAAAAGCAATTCTGGGGCTAACACAGGGTGGCAAACTTGTTATTATGCTAAATAAAGCCACTGAAGACATAATTTCAGAATAACAATCTTTCTCAAGGAATAATAATCATACATATATGCACATGTATTAATTAAGCATATATACAGAACATGCTTAACTACACAACACACACACTAAATTGTCCCTATTTTTCTCATTTTGCCAGATCTGCACACTGGGACCTTTACACCAGGTTATAGAATTACAGTAAGAATCAGATGGCGGGGACAGAAAGAGTTATTTCTCGGACAGGAGTTATTCTACTGAGGAGAAATTACACATCAAGCAGAGGAATATATAGGACTTTTATCCTCATAGAGGGAGTTTCATCCTCATAGTAGGGGCTTGCAGAGGGACAGAAAGACCTAGAATGTATATAAAAACTCACAGACAAAACTAATGAAGAAGTCTAGGCCTCACATATTAAATATATTCAAGTTATAGGAGATTAAATAGTTATGGTAGGAATTTAAGAATAAATATCTGAGTGGACAGCATTGTGCAGAAATGGAAAAAAAAGCAGCATTAAATTCAGTTGGGGAAATGATTTATAAATCAAATAAATAGAACTGAAGTAAGATAACAATTTTACCTATCGAATTGTAAATTTATACAGATGAGGGCTGCTTAAATACTGCTAAAAATATACCAATTTAATATCTTTAGAAAACAATCTGAAAGCCTCTGACAAAACTTTATAAAACTCTTCTATTTTCTTCTTTTGCTTCTTCTGTTTTCTAATTTTTCTATAAAGTATTACTTCATAATGAAGTATGCTAAAACAATTTTTTAAAACCCTTTATCCTATGTGATCCAATAATTCTACTAAATTATATAGTTTATTTCAAATCACTACTTAGATTTAGAAGTATCTGTTAAGGGTTGAGACAGCAGCTCAGTGGTAGAGTACATGCTAAGCCCATTTGTGAGGCCCTGAGAATAATCTCCAGCACCAAAAAATAAAAATAACAAAAAAATCTGATAAGACTTATACTACAGAAAATAATATGTTAAAATATCAGAAAGTTTTTCCAGGGGCTGGGGTTGTAGCTCAGTGGTAGAGCACTTGCCTACCACATGTAAGGCAATGGRTTCGAACCTCAGTACCACATGAAAGCAAATAAAGGTATTGTGTCCATTTACAACTTAAAAAAAAAAAAAGAAAGAAAGAAAAGAAAGGTTTTTTTCCCGTGAAAAGTTCTTGTCTTCAAGAATCTTAAAACAAGATAATTATTCAACAAATTTATAAGCATGTACCTCACACTGGCCTTATGGATTTTATAGTATTGTGAAGAGGGGAAAGATTAAACAAATAACTACAGCAGTGATAGACAGCAGAAAGGAAAGATGCAGGTTGTATGGAGACCTTTTTTTTTTTAGTTTTAAGTGGACACAATATCTTTATTTTACATTTATGTGGTGCTGAGGATCGAACTCAGTGCCTCAAGCATGCTAGACGAGCTCTCTACCACTGAGCCACAACCCCCAGCCCTTGTATGGAGACCTTTCTAACAGAGTCTCTGGTCAAAGCTTAACTTACTCATTTATGCACAAGCAAGGGCAAATGAAATGAAGCACCGAAGGGATTAGAACAGGGACATAACCCCCCAAAATTAGTGTTGAACAAAATCACCATGGGTATCACATAGAGAATGAACACAAGATAAAACAGAAAGGAAAAAATGGAGATTTGAAAGTCACAGGTTACTAAAAGCATAAAGTATATACTTACATTTCAATCATGATGTTGATAGTGCTGATGACAACACTTACCAAGTATTAACTTTGTATTAGATCCCATGTAAGTACTATTATTTTTTAATTTCATGTTCAGCAAATGAGAAAAACAAAAGCTAAGGACAAGCAACTTGTCTAAGGTCACAAAGAAGTGGTGAGCTAATCTTCAAACTCATAGATGTCTAGAAAAATTCTGTAAGAGAAGTTATAAAGACTAAGGGGTCCTATTTTAGACGGACACACCTTAATCTCAATACACCAAAACTGAAATCAGTGTTTCCATATTAATTCCTCTCCCTTGGCATTCCCATCCATTTTGTTTATTCTTACCATTTTTCTGCCTTCAAACTTCATACTGGCTAAAATTAAAGTGACAATAACAATTGTAAACAAGGATGTAGAACAATTTGACATCTTGTACATCACTAATGGGAATACAAGTGATATAGTCATTTTGGAAAACAGTTTGATAGTTTCTTATAAAGTCAATCATACAGTTATACCTTGTGTCCTAACAATCCCACTCTTACATAAATATACACAAGAGAAATGAAAACTATATCCATTCAACTATAACCCTAATGTTTAAGACA